TCTCATGAAAAATTAACTCATTAATTCAGAAAAACAGAGCAAATTTTTTTCTCATGAAAAATTAACTCATTCATTCAGAAAAACAGAGCAAAAACTTTTTTTCTCATGAAAAATTAACTCATTAATTCAGAAAAACAGAGCAAAAACTTTTTTTCTCATGAAAAATTAACTCATTAATTCAGAAAAACAGAGCAAAAACTTTTTTTTCTCATGAAAAATTAACTCATTAATTCAGAAAAACAGAGCAAAAACTTTTTTTCTCATGAAAAATTAACTCATTAATTCAGAAAACAGAGCAAAAACTTTTTTTCTCATGAAAAAATTAACTCATTAATTCAGAAAAACAGAGCAAAAACTTTTTTTCTCATGAAAAATTAACTCATTAATTCAGAAAAACAGAGCAAAAATTTTTTTTCTCATGAAAAATTAACTCGTTAATTCAGAAAAACAGAGCAAAAAAAATTTTTCTCATGAAAAATTAACTCATTAATTCAGAAAAACAGAGCAAATTTTTTTTCTCATGAAAAATTAACTCGTTAATTCAGAAAAACAGAGTAGATTTTTTTTTCTTCAAGTGAATGCAATACGCCTCCGTAAAAACGCATTGAAACCCCAATGAACGATTGATAAGAAAGTGTGTGGTTTTCCCTCTTAGTGCGCGTTCTTTGACCTTCATGTCCCTCAGGGGGTCCTCATATTTCAGCCTATGAGCTAATTGAGCCAGTGGCTCCTCTCAGTGCTCCCCTCTCCTACCGGGACGTTTATGCATCCCTGCTGACTTCGCTGTCAATGTCAAACGCTTGTTAGGACGTCATCAATCATCAGCACTTAGGAATATTTTCAGAACTTTGAAGGCAGGTGAGAATAGCTGAGGGAACAGTGTTCATAAGACACACACTTCCAACAGTTAACAACGGATCATACGAGGCGCAGACCGAATTTTACAGTGCGTTTCATTGGAAGCGAAGGGTGTTAGCTCTCAAATGCAACCCATCTGCCTGCCTGTTTTTAAAGCCACAAGTTGTCAGGGCTGTACATCACTCTGTCTAAGGATAAGTGAGCGCATTGTTTCTCATGTCTGCAGGCGAGAGTTCTGGTGTAGATTCTCGTCAGATAAATAAACAGACTCCATCATCGGGCCAAGACGACAGAGATTCATTACCGAGGGCCAGGCGGGTACAGGCTTACACGCCGTCTTGCCAAAGGAAGTCGAACACGCATTTTTCACATTCGTTCAATAAATCTGCCACTCTATTTTATCTTCTAATCTTAGCACAGATCTCCTCGTTCCTCTGTCCTTCTCACTTTCTCTGCCATCCTCTCGTAATCTTTCTCTCTGTCCCACACATGGAGCGAGAATGAATTTCTTTAGCCGTCTTGCCTCGAGTTAATTATTTGGGATTTATAGTCGGGGTTCAGGATTACAGACTGGGGTGACGATCAAATGTTGAGTCCTGGAATTGATGGGAACCCTAAAGCGGAGTATTAACACTAGGGTGCATGAAGGGGGTCAAACTGTGATTTATGAAATCTGTTTTCAATAAAAAGCATAATCTATGCATTCCTCTTATATGTTGTATGTGGTTTCGACCGCAGTTTACATCATGTGTCCATAAAGACAAACATGCATTTCCTGAGGAACTTTGATCATGGAGTTTTATTTTGTCAAAATTTATCCAAAATAATAATAATACATTCTTTTTTGCCAATATTTCATTCCTACATTTTGGATTGTGATTGTGTCAATTACATTTTTTCGTGTTTCCTAACAATTTCAATCTATTTAAGGACCAATGTACCAGAGGATTTTGTATGTTATCATTATAATTTTCCATCTTTTATCAAAAACATTTTCCTACATGCACTACTCAGCCATAGTTTCAACACACCTGTTTTAAAGTTTCTCTCTATCTAAGGGTTTGTTATTTCCTTAAAAAATTTCCTTAAAAACTGAAAAAATTTTCCTTCACGTTTTTGAAAAGTTTCGCGTACACTCAACAACGTTCCCCATTCTCACCGGTCTGCGAAAACGACAAACTTCTCAAACGAAAGCGCTGTATTCGCATGTCTGGCCAGTAGATGGCAATATTACAATTTGGCGTCAAATAATGCGTCTCCTACCAGCAGAGCTTATTATATTAAACTTATATTAAACTTTTGCCGCATCCGGTCGTCAAAACTCCGAACACATCTTCCTTTTTTAAGAATGACGTTTTCTTAACTCCAAGCAAGTCGTCCAGAGTCGCGGCCAAAGCCGATTCGAAAGACCGCTGTTCGCCAGCAGCATCTTCTTTGTTTTCAAGTAGCAGGGAAATCACATCTCTGCCTTCATTACGTTAAGCCCGCCCACCTACTCTATAACTAACACAGTCTCATCCCAAAAAGTCATATAACTGACGTTTTGGGACGTATTTTGACTATACGTCAATATCCGCCTTTTTAGGGCCCCCTTAAACGTCGGTAGATGGCGATCCCGGGCCGTCATACAACTGACGCTTTACCTTTAACGTCAGTTAGGTGACGGGTTAGGTTTAGGTCTGGGGTAGAGTTAGGATCCCATAACCTCATCTACCGACGTTTAAGGGGGCCCTAAAAAGGCGAATATTGACGTATGGTCAAAAGACGTCCCAAAACGTCAGTTATATGACGTCTTGGGATGAGACCGGGTTGCTATAACATGATGTGATTGGCCTGACCAGAGTTGGGTTTTTCCAGCTCGAAAGCCAACGAAGAGTTGCTAGACCACACTGGCCGCAAAATAATTTTTGCTGCCGTTAGGATGCGTTTAGATTTCTAAGCTACTTAGCGCATGCCTGTGTAATACGCATGATGTCAACGTTTTCACTAATTTTGGTTTACACAGAGATGATAGTGGTATCATTTTCAAAAACTTGCACTTTGAAAGCCCTTTTCAAAAGTTTGTTTTCTGGCCCTGGTGTGTTGTAACTGGGCAGCCAGAATGCATTAAAAGTTTTTCCAGTTTTAGTTGAAAAAAAAATGGCATGCAAACAGCCCCTCAAAGACCACGATGTGTAGGTCTGCCCAAACTTTTGAATGACATTGGCTAAAAAGGAAGCGGTGTAAAATCAGTCCACGCTTAAAACTTTTCTTTTTGTGAGATGTGCTGGCCCTGTCTGCAAGAAACATGGCCAAATAATCTGGAAAAAGATGCCAGAAATGAAAAACCATGTTAGTTATAGTTATATTGAATTTCATTTGTGAACAAAGGAACAAATTTCTTAAGCGAGTTCATTGTACTGAAAATAAAGATCTGAAAATAAAGAAAAACAGGATCAGGTTGCCTTTTCTTTGTAGAAAACCATTGATTCGGAAGTGGTTTTCAGGTCAAAAAATAATCCTGTAGTTGCTTCTACCCTGTTTCTTCCCATCTCCACTGTTATTTCCCCATCTGCATTGGGCAGGTTTAGATTAAAAGAGAGGAAAGCCATAAATATGATAAATGAGAGAGCGGTTGAAGCAGCTGCTCCACATGCTCTATGTCATCTCTTGCAATCAGTGGCGGCTGGTGAAAATTATTGTAGGGGGGGCTGAATAAGAGGGGGGTCTGGGGGTTCCCCCCCAGAAAATTTTGAATTTAGTAGATGTGATTTCCTGCATTCTGGTGCATTTTAGGCCTTAGGCCATGCCCTTACCTATACCAATAAAATAACTTAAACCAGTCAATACCAATGGTCAAATAATACAATAATAATAATTTGTTTGACAGTTAATGATAATGAACAAGTTGCATGTTTATTATGCTCTGTGTGCTGACAGAAAAAGTGCAAACGCATAATATTGATAAATTATATATAGGTAATACAAAAAATAATAGGTAATACAACAATCTAGTTTAATCAATCCCCAGCTGTAGACTACATATTTTTGACAAATTGACAATTGGATAATGGATAACAATGTGTTGATACTAGAGAAAGAGAGAGAGAAAAGGCTCTGAAAAAGAGGGTGGGACAACGTTCTTGATTGTAACACCCAAGTATGAGAAGAAAGTTGATTTTAACTAGTATAAAACACAGTAATCTAGCTCAGAACTTAAAAACATCAAAAACAAAGCAAACACACAGGTATTAATATTCCTATAACTATTTTAATATCAAATGTGTGTGAAACAGTGTTTATGTGTGAGTGAGTGAGTGAGTGAGTGAGTGACAGAGACAGACAGGTCAATTCCCACGACTAACTTTACATTATTTCCACTCGACGTCACTGGCGCTGCCATTCTGCTCTCATCTGAGGTAAAAAAAATGTCCCGTGGTGCGCGTGCACGGTGCACTCCCCTAATCTGATACTGTGGGCGATATTTTCAGCGCCCCTAAACCATAAAATTTGACGGCGCTGATTGGCGAAATATAAACTTTTTTGCATAGCAACCGGGGAACCATTGGCTTAAATTCCAGCACTGTGGGGCTGAGCAAACTGGCGCCCTGAGAAGACAGCCTATTGGCTATACTACTACACCAACATGATAAAAGTAACGAAAGTGAATGCAAATATCATTCTGGTGAGTTCATAACACTTTTCAAAGTAAAACCATTATTATCATATAATTAACACAGATTATTTTTCAAAATTATAAATTATAATATATATTTAAAAAAAAACAGACAGACAGGTCGGAGGGAGGGCGGCGCCCCAGCGCCCTCTATGGGCGAGCCGCCCCTGCTTGCAATCTCTCTATATCTTTATACACTCGATTGCCTCTGTTCCTTCTTTACAGGGTTGAAAATGTCAAGACGGATATATATTGAAAAGCGCTAAGTTAAGACGCATTGACACAGGCCAGATAAAGGGAGGCCTCATGCTGACAAAAGTCTCTGATTGGCTGGATTATGTGTGTAAAACGGTCGAATAGAAGCTAGAATGAGTGTCGTAAGCTGGGATGTTTTCAAAAATCCATATCGCTTCACTCAAATGTCATGTAAATCCATTTGTGTCCTGACCCCTTATAAATGTCTTCATCTTTCTTTTTACTGTTACAGGCTTGATGACATCATGACCAGATATCACTCCCCTCCTTTCCAGACACTCCTTTTCCTCTTCACCCTCTTCCCTCTCTCCCATCTTTCTCCTCTACTCTCTCAATCTCCTCTCAGCTGGACCTCTCCTCATGACCCCTGCCACCACCTGGACGGGCGTCCGCGCCACTGCCTGTCTGAGTTCATCAACACGGCCTACGGGATGCCCGTGACGATGGAGGACCTCCAGCAAGGACCCAAGACGAACATCAGCGCTTTAACAGACCTTCATAACCCCCACAATCTAACGTGCTGGATGGCCGACGAAGGCTCGGCTGGTGGGGATTGGACTTTGACGGTTCCCCTGGGAAGACGCTTTGAAGTCACTTACATTAGTCTTCAGTTTTGTCAACAGGTGGAGTCGATGGAGTCCTATTCCATCTCCATCTTGAAGTCGATGGACTTCGGCCGGAGCTGGCGCCCTCTACAGTTTTATTCAAGCGATTGCATGGGCGCTTTCGGCCGTCCCGCGCAGTCTATCGCTCTGACGAAGCACCAGGAGACGGAGCCGCTGTGTTCGGATCCCAGACCGTTGCAGAAGCATCGTGGAAATGTCATGCTGGCCTTCTCGACTTTAGACGGACGCCCTTCCTCGCCGGATTTTGACTACAGCCCAGGGCTCCAAGACTGGGTGACTGCAACCGACATAAAGATAGTGTTTCATCAATTGTCGAACGACAAAATGAAAAAAGGGGAAGAGAAACTTAATGAAGTGGGAGGTGCGTTTAGATGGAGAGCAGGTGGAGATAAAGCTCTGAGGTTTGGCGAGAAAAACACTGGCGTTAAGACAACCGAAATTTGGGGAAATAGTCGAGAAAAACAGACTTCGACGCAAAGAATTAGGAATAAAAGCATCGTCCAAAGTGGTCACAATGTCACACAAAAGGAAGATAGAGTGGGAAGGGGCCGTAAGAAGGACGGTTTCAAGCCATGCCAGGATGAGACGTGTGATTGGTCCCTAAATATCCCGCAGCAGGGCTCCAAAGGGCGAGAGTTGAGGAGAAGGAGAAACAACGGAGGGAGAGGGAAGTCCCGTTCTAAATCGAGAAAAAAAGTCACGCAGCACCTCGTCCCGTCTTCTCTTTACGCCCCACCGAAAACCCCTTTCGCCCTTTCCGACCTGCAGGTGGGAGGCAGGTGCAAGTGCAATGGCCACGCCTCTCGCTGTCGCCGTGACAACCAGGGGCGTGCCGTGTGTCAATGTGAGCATCACACATCTGGGCCGGACTGTGACGTATGTGAGCCATTTTTTTATGATCGCCCATGGCAACGGGCCACACCCAGCCAACCACACCCGTGCGTCCGTGAGTTTAAGCCTGTGTGTGGTCTGTCTGTGCTTAAATGTCCATTTATAAACATATACGATTTAGAATAATTAACTGGTTCCTATGATGTATGGCATATTATTTTTTACACAATAACATCTGAATTAAGATCATTTAAAATTCACTGAAAAAAAAAACTTTAATTTTTTAAATATCCTTAGATTAATTTACATGATTAGCTATACTTCATCAAAATTTATGACATCCAGCAACTTTTATTTTACTTTGGATGATTAGATTGATGACATTCATCTATATTTTACAATGCTGGTGAGTAAATAGACCTCACTCTGATTTCACTCCAGTCGCAATGCATGCTGGGTAATTAGCAGTGCCACATATTAAGGCTGCAATTCTAAATCGCATACTTCCCTACTATATAGCAGGCTAAAAACAGCATGTGACTAGTGTCGTATCGTACGTCCAAATTCACAGGAGAAATGCGCGATTCTGGTTAAACAGAGAATCACAATTTTTTTGTTAGATAAGTAAACAAAATAACATGTCATTTACTAGAGGTTCTGACAAAATGCTAATTGCTGCAGTCAAATGTTTAAAGTGAATGAAAGTGCAGTCTACTTTAAATGTTCAAACTGAATGAAGTATTTTAAAAAAGTTGAGTGAATGATTCAGTGACTCACTCATTAATGTTTCAACTTGATTCATTTTTTGAACGAATCTCTCGAATGAATGATTCAATGACAAATACATTTTTAAACAGTCACTTCTCATACCAGACAAGTGATTTAATCGATACAATCATTATTATTATGATACATAATAATTATTATTATGATACATACGTAGCTATTTGAAGCACCAAGTCACTTTCAAAAGTTGATTTGCTCTGTTTTGATCGCTACCGTAGACATCAGTGTTTATATTCGGACTATACATTTGATCCCAGTACTTGAGTGATAATATGAATATTTGACAACACAGAAATAACAAAATTTTGTGCTTGAAAAGACCGTTTCGGAGTGATTTTCTAGCAAAGCCTCTCCTCCATTGACATCCATTCAAAAAAAACGGTCTGGTCTCTTAACGCAGCGTTAGCAGGCGACAAGTGTTACGATTTATATCGCCTAAGGTTGCAGGCTTGCCTTCAAGTGGCTTTGGTAGTACGTCTGAATTACATTCATACTTTTTTTAGTACTTGCACAGTACTTATTCAAAATAAGTACCTATTGATGCGATTTCGGATGCAGCCTAATTATAGTACTTGGTGTCCGAGAATCTTTAATAGGAGTATATTTTGTCTTGCTGCACTGGAAGATTTAAGTTAAAAAATAATAATTTGTAAGCATTAAGAAAAAGGAAAGATACGACGATCTAAATGCATATATTGTTGATTTTACAAGCTATTATTCAATCCTCAAACTGCCCTCATCTTTATTCTGTTTCTTTCCCTTCTAGCATGTGAATGTAATGGTCACTCTAGTAAGTGTAGGTTCAGTATGGCCTTGTATCAGCAGTCTGGTCGAGTCAGTGGAGGCATGTGCTTGAAGTGCCGGCATCACACAACGGGACGCCACTGCCAGTTGTGCCAGAACGGATACATGCGTGACCACACCAAACCTCTCAGCCACCGCAAGGCCTGCCAACGTCAGTAACACAATTGATTTGTCTGTGTGTTTTGTGTGAAAATCATGTTTAAGTTGGTATGTCAGTGAGTGAATCAATCTTAAAGGAGTAGTTCACTTTAAAAAAAAAACTTTTGCTGATAATTTACTCACCCCCGTGTCATCCAAGATATCCATGTCTTTCTTTCTTCAGTCGAAAAAGAAATTAAGGTTTTTAATGAAAATATTCCAGGATTTTCTCCATATAATGGACTTCAATGGGAACCAAACGGTTCAAGGTCCAAATGAGAGTTTCATTTGGAAACTCTTGAACGAATCTTTTTGAGTCATTTGGTTGATTCAATGAACGAAATGACTCAAAAAAAGATTTGTTCATTTTGACGAACGAGTTCAAACAGGAGAGTCACGAACGTGCATCACAGAACAGAGCAAGGCGACCATTTGTGCTTATAAAACTTAAACTTTGTTATTTAAAGCCCTTTGAAGCTGCACTGAAACTCATTTGGACCTTGAACCGTTTGGTTCCCATTGAAGTCCATTATATGGAGAAAATCCTGGAATGTTTTCATCAAAAACCTTAATTTCTTTTTAACTGAAGAAAGAAAGACATGGACATCTTGGATGACATGGGGGTGAGTAAATTATCAGCAAAAGTTTTTTGAAAAGTGAACTACTCCTTTAAGGTCTGAAAAGGAGTACGAGTCTGAAATTCGCGTCCGAAATTTACACACGTTAAAAAATAAATACAACCTCACGTTATGTCAATCACGCTTGCACACTGCCACCGAAACATTTGTCTCCGTGATTAAAAAAAAAAAAAAAAACGAATCAAGTTCGATTTGCTGCGTTTGAATGGTGTTTTGAAAATTCAGAGCCACCAAATCACGAATACAAAAAAACGCATTTGAAAATTTCGGACTCAGTGTGCAATGGCCTTTACAGGTCCACAAGTGAAAAAAAAAAAACATGTTTTCTTTTGGCTTTGCCATCTGTGGGGTCTGAGGTGTGTGAATTGTGTGAATTGTGAAAGGCAGCATAGTCTGTGTCTATGTTATGGCTACACTATGAGTGAAGGAATTTGCACTGACACTTGCCCTTTGACTGCTCTCATGTCTATGGCACGCTCACCGTGCTTTTTAGTCAATGTCCCAATATACTCTGCATGCTTGTGCATACATATCATACATCAATGTGTACTTGTAATTTAGTGCGCGACTTTGTAAAATGTATACAAACTCTAAATGATGTCCTGGAAATACCATAAAGCCTCTGCTAACACCTAAATATTTGAATTGAGTGGTAGAATTATCTTTAAAAATTTGGGAACTGAAAGATTTAAAACGTGTTAATGTTAAAACAGACCATAGACCATAAGCATATATAAATGTTTGTAGGACGTTCGGAGCTTTGTTTGGATGAAAAGGGGTTGAGCAGAAGCAGAGAAGCAGATCTTTCCTCTCAATGGTCTCCTAGCCATCACAAATATGTTTTATGGGGAAAACGTTGCTCAGGGGTCAATGAAGACACAAAACACAGATGCCTTGTTCTGTGTAGTATTACTCGTCTTTTCCCTTCATATGTTTAGTCAACACTAATACCGTTAGTTTTACGATTATTCTCTTCCTAACACATTTATTCCTGCTCTGCTCTAGTCGTCTTCTCGCTATATTACACTTTCAGTTCTTTTAAAGGGATAGTTCACCCAAAAATGAAACTTCAAACTCAAAAAAGTTGTCAAAACGTGTATAAATACCTTCTGATGAACACAAATGAAGATATTTTGAAGAATATGGGTAACCAAACAGTTGATGAACCCCATTGACTTCCATAGGGAGGAATAGATACTATGGAGGTCAATGGGTGCCAATGACCCATATTCTTCAAAATTTCTTTTTTTGTGTTTAGCAGAAGACAGAAATGTAAACAGGTTTGGAACAACTTGATGACAGGCATTTTTAGGTGAACTATCTCTTTAAAAATCCTTTCCTTTTCTTCTCGTCTCTCTCAGCATGCCAGTGCCATCCCCTGGGTGCAGTGGGCCGTTGGTGTAACCAGTCCACGGGACAGTGTTTGTGTAGAGAAGGAGTCACAGGACAGAGGTGTAACCGATGTGCTCCCGGGTACAAGCAAGGCCACTCCCCCCTCCGCCCATGTATCCGTAAGTATCACACCTTGCACTGCTCATTTCGATTGTAGAATAATAACTAAAGTTGCTGGTCATAACGATTGCGGTGTTTTGTAATGATGTATCTTAAAGGAGTAGTTCACTTTAAAAAAAAAAACTTTTGCTGATAATTTACTGACCCCCATGTCATCCAAGACGTCCACGTCTTTCTTTCTTCAGTCGAAAATAAATTAAGGTTTTTGATGAAAACATTCCAGGATTTTCTCCATATAATGGACTTCAATGGGGTCCAAACGGTTTAAGGTCCAAAAGACAGTTTCAAAGGGCTTTAAACGACACCAGACGATGAATAAGGGTCTTTATATAATCTATAATAATGATTCATTCAACGAACGAAATTACTCGAAAAAAGATTCGTTCATTTTGATGAACGAGTTCGAACAGGAGAGTCACGAACGCGCATCACAGAACAGAGCAAGGCGAGCAAATGTGCTAATAAATCTTAAACTTTTTTATTTATTTTTTAAATGACCGATCGTTTCGCTAGATAAGACCCTTATTCATCGTCTGGTGTCGTTTAAAGACATTTGAATCTGCACTGAAACTGTCTTATAGACATTGAACCGTTTGGTTCCCATTGAAGTCCATTATATGGAGAAAAATCCTGGAATGTTTTCATCAAAAACCTTAATTTCTTTTCGACTGAAGAATAATTAATAACTTTTTTACAAAAATTAACCATCACAGCCGAAACAAACATTGTTGCTTAGGCCGTGCCACAGGGGCCTATATGTATTGTAAGCTTGTTATCAATATCCTTCATTGGAATACACATGCACATAAGCTTAACTGCAGGAATCTGTGAGGGGACCTTGTAGAACATTAGTGTATTAAATTAATAAAAGACCAATTACAGGAATACTGACTTCTAAACCTCAAAGAAATGCCACAATCAAGACCTCAGAGCAGAAATAAGTGAGAAAACACTTCACATGTGCCGCTCACAGTATAGGAGTATTTCCTTGCCATTAATGCTTGGATAACACGCCTATGCCTACGTCTCTTAATCAAGTCTAGTGCGGTGGCTGTGAAAATTTAAACCTACCAAGGTCCGTTGCCATGATTTTTGGAATGACTGATCGCGAGAGGAAAAAAATGACATTTTAGTCGCATAACATAGTGTAGCCCTCAATCGGGTCATGGGGTCTATACGACCCCAATCGTCTTTTACTCAATACAATTTATTTATAATGCACATTTAAAAACAACCTTGGCTGGCCAAAGTGCTTGCATTAAAAAAAGGAAAAATGGAGTAAAAAAAAAGTTACAGAGAATTAAAAACACAAAGAGTCATGATAAAAAGTAGCATGGTTTCCACAAACCTATTACCACACATCTGTTTACCATGTAGCATTTTTACATTTACCAAATTGGCACATTAGAATGATTTCTAAAGGATCATGTGACACTGCATACAGGCAGGGTGGCCAGGTTTCAGTCGGTTTCAGTAGACAAAAAGTTATGAGTAGTAAAAATGATCTAGGAGGACCTTAACGCAGTGTGTGCCATCCATCCCTCAAAAGCCCCGTTTCATCCATATTAAATTCAATATGGCATCATGATTTTTTTTAGTTGTTGCTATTTTTCACCCGACTGCTCTTGACCCAATTAACCTGCTTAACTTATTTAAACTCCAAAGTCGGTATCATTGTCACTCTGCAAACTACTGTTTGTTTATGCAGGATTTAGTGGAAGCCGCTCTCTGAAACTCTAACACCTTCCCCTCATTCCTGTGAATAACTAGTTCCATACAAAGTCCTGAAATTTCTCAGGTTGTGTCGCTTGGCTTTCTTCAACATTGCAATCATCTTTCAGGATGTCTGGGTAACGTTATCCTTTACTCTTAGTCTTAGTAAGTGATAATCCAATGTGTATTGCTGCATTTTTATTTCTCGGAGTTCACGTAACGGTGCGAGCTAACATGCTCTTTGCTAACAGCACCTGTCGCGCGGCACAACCAGACCCGTTTCCCTCCCAGCATGACAGACGCATAATTCTTCACGGGTTACGGCTCAGTGATAGAAGAGCTTGTTTGTTGTTCTACATGGAAGGTCTCAACATGGATATTTATAGCGTGAGCTCCCGTCTTTCAAGCACCAAAGGCGAGCCGCGGCTAAAAACATAACCAGCTCCGGCGGACCCGGAGCAGGAAACGCAGCCGTCGTTTATCACACGGAAAGTGACCCAGACATTAGATATTATTAGCAATTGAGGATTTGTGGGGGGTTTTATTTTGGATAACAGTGACCAGGAAGTCTCATGTTAAACTCTATCTATTTAGTACATTCTGTGTAGCCCTTAATCCTGTAATTGTGGACAAATGTGGGCACAGAGGACTCAGGTGTGATCCTAATTTTTATTTATTATAAATTTATATCATATTTATATCATATCATATTTTTTTATTTTGGGGGTATTTTTGAATTTATTTACTTCAAAAAGTACCATATTTTCTATGTAAATTATGCTTATTTTTATGTTTCATTTTTTTTAATAATTTTTAACTATAAATATCATTCCAATAAGTTCTTAGAGCTAAAACCTAAAGATGAAGTGACTTTGCCGTCACCTGGTGTCTTATTTTGGCTTATTTTATTTTATTTTTCCCATTCATTTCTATGGGTGCCCATTTTTGACCCAAATACAAGATTAAGGGTTTTTTTTTTTCCACACACTTAACAGTGTAGAATTGAGTCAAAAAAAAAAGTGTGTGTGTTCAGGAGGCAAACTTAGGAAAAGTAGCCAAGTCTTGTACCGCTCAGATCAAATAATAAATCAAAACTATTAGTCCAGAATATGGTTTTAGGTTAAAGCAAATGGATTTGTTCAGGTCTGCTTTCGCAACACAATGCCAGCTCGTACCCCCATTGAAGCGACTAAAACGCTCAAATAAGTGAAGCATATGATGCCCTCAGGCAGAAGGTACAGGTTACCAAACTGCAGATTAAATAGGTTTAAATTTTCTTTTGTACCGCTCTCTATTAAAATACTGAACGATCAACTAGGGTGTGTGGGTTAGAATTTAAGTGTGAAACTAATTATGTTTAATCATGTCGGGTGTGACATTAATTTTTAACATTAATATAATCTGTAATTCATGTTTGTGTGTTATGTGTTATGTATAATGTATACTGTGTTGCATCTGTTTCCTGAAGGCCAAAGATGAATTTCTCCATTAGGAGACAATAAAGGCTAATCCAATCCAATCCAATCCAATCCATCTGAAGCATCACGCGTTTGACGCTTGATATGAGTTATTGCTGAGGGAGTTTGGGGGGTTGGAGGAGGAGGATAAGGTGTCAGTGCCCCAGTTGTGTCAGAGATATGGGCAGAAGTACAGAACTCATGGGTAATATATGGTTGACCCAGCGCTCCAGACCTATCACGGGCCGTATGTATGCGTGTGTGGCAGAGGGCGTCCAGATAGGTGGCCCTATTGACCTTTAAGACCACACACATGCACAAAATTGTCTGGGCTCACTCACTGTGACAAACGTACGCTTGTTTTTTAACACAAGCATTCCACGCGCACTAAAAGACAACAGGGCGAACTGCAGTCACAGCACACACGTCCCCTTTCTCCCTCACACTCTCACAAATGGCAAGTATGCCCTAATGAGCCACCGTAGGGATTAGAGCCGGTCACCCACAGCGGAGGTGTGAAAAAGAGGAAGGACAAAATGAAAGACACACAAATAAACTTGTCACTGCTTGCTGTAATTTAATGAGAGCCTCTTCCCCGTCTGTTGTTCGTTCAGGTATTCAGGAGGTTGCGCCGCCCACCCCAGTTTACCAGCCTCAGTACAGCATTGGTAAGACATTGTTTTTCATTTTACCTGCACCTATATAGGCCTGCATGCAATACATTTTTTTACTTTAAAAGGAATACTCCACTTTTTTTGGAAATAGGCTCATTTTACAACTCCCCCAGAGTTAAACTGTTGACTTTTACCTTTTTTGAATCCATTCAGCCGATCTCCGGTTCTGGCAGTACCACTTTAGCATAGCTTAGCATACATCATTGAAGTGCACAAGACCATTAGCATTTTTACCAAAAAAATTACCAAAGTGTTTCGATATTTTTCCTATTTAAAACTTGACTCTTCTATAGTTACTTCGTGCACTAAGACAGACGGAAAATGTAAAGTTGCGATTTTCTAGGCTGATATGGCTGGGAACTATACTCTCATTCCTGCGTAATAATCAGGAAACTTCACTGTCGTACCATGAGTGCAGCAGGCGCGATGACGACACAAACTTAGACATGGTCACGTTGGAACCCGGGCACTATTTTCAGGCGCTGCGTCATGACCATCATATTATAATGTTGAATCGCTATAATTAATGGCTTAAAGTGATATAAAAAATCTATTTAATAGAAACATTAGTATCATTATTGATATCAGTGATGGCATTCATTCATAAAAACAATGCCATTAAACCATGGTTGGTATGATCTTTATATTGTTTCTACATTATTTGGAGATTGTGTGATTTAAAAATTCGTACAATATAAAATATATTAAAAACTAAAAATGTAAAGTGCGATTAATCATGATTACAGAACAATGCGCAATTAATTTGTTTTGTTTTTTTGTTTTTAAATATATTGAGTGTTCATATACGTATGTGCAAACACACAATCATTTTATTTTGAGCTTTCTGGTCAGACGCACTTAATTTATCACAACTCTGAACTGAATTTTTTAAAGTTTTTTTTTTTTTTTAATTTAAAGTACTTTATTTTCATGATGCATACAATATTGCCAAACAATAACAAATGACAAGGTGCATCCAGTTTACTGCATAATAATAGAGCATATTAATTGTGATTTACTGCCCCCTAGTGGATTAGCATTGTGCTGAAGCAATTCTGTTCACGTTCATGTGCACAAGCTGCATGTAGTTTAGCACTGCTATTCATTCCTTTAGTGTCACTGTATAGCTCCGTTAAAAATTGTAAACATTAGGTGCATTAGATCACTTAGAAAAGCAATAGTGTACAGTATGTCTCCTTAACAAGATGCACAATTGGAATCATTCAAGTCCCTATGAGATAAGTAATGCACCAAATTTGAAATATTACAAGTGATCATATAGGTTAAACAGTATATAGAGGTAATACAGTATATAGATCATATATATAGTATACCAATAATGATCATAATCATAATATAAACCCAATAATATAGAATATTTACGCCGTCGGTGTATGAATGAGTGTGTGATTGGTTACTAGTTACTAGTTAACAGTGTAATTAGATTACAGTACTAATTACTCGCTCTAAAAAGTATTTAATTACTTTTAATTACTAATTACTTTCAAAATCCCATATCAATCTCAACCAGCTGAATAATACAAGGATAGACATGAATCTGTTTTAATTCTTTCAAATAAATACTATAAAACTGCATGAATTATCCTTAAACTGACCAAGGTGGAGAAGGTTACATTATAAAAACATACTTTTTAACATCAGACAACATATTTTGATGTTAAACCCACTATTGTTTTATGTCTGATCTCATGACATTTCACACTTTTTTCATACATATTTTACAATAATTCATATGAATTTGTACGAGTGCGGTCGTAATATTTAGACACCTCATAAAATGCATACGAATCGCTGTGAGATCGGATTGATCTATACACATTATTTACTCAATTACGTCAGAAGTAACTGTAATTAAATTACACATAAATGAAGAGTAATCCCTTACTTTACATTTTCAAGGGAAAAGTAATTAAATTACAGTAACTAATTACTTAGTAATTAGTTACACCCAACACTGATTGGGAATGTGAAGCAAAATGTTTGTAAAGCGCTCTTCTCTTGGGTCTGTGAAAGCACTATATAAATGCAGTCCATTAAATAATGAATGGCTTTCCTATTTTATTTTAAATACAAATAAATCTGAATGTATAGAAATAAGTCTAATAGCATCATCTCTTATTCTAAGTGTTAATGCATGTTTTCTATACACAAAGGAAGATCAGAATCACCCCCTTTTTTTTTTAAATTCAGTGGCGGAAACAAGCCTACATTAAAAAATACCAGGAACTGGCTCTACCGGTCACAATTTTCTGAAACCGCAAAAAGATCTCCTGCTGTTCAAACAAGGGTCTGTCATATGACTCTCAAGTCGACTGAGTGAAGTATTTTCCAGTGCCATTACTGTATATCTGGAAATCTGGCCCGCTGACCAGCAGACAGTAAAACCCCCTCTTTCTGAATAAAACGTGTTTTACCATTGACAGCAACAGAATATTGTAAGGTCTGCCATGATTATGGTAATATATACCTGCCGCAGCTGCTGCTAATATCTAAGAAAGTGCAGTGCTGATTGATTTCACACACATTACTATGATCTACACTGAGTAGACAGGCCAACTCGAGCTCTCAGGAGACTCCAGAGCGGCCTTTTACTCCTGGACCGCTGAGCTATATTAAATTCTTGAACAGAGATATAGAGCAGCATTTCACGTTCCCTTCTTGGAGAGATTGATACTGGTGGTCTAGTTTTGTCCAAAATGTGCCAGTTTTAAAATCATAAGTGAGATTTCACCTTTTCATTGTATGTTTTATGGTCTATTATTGCTTTCACTAATAAAAAAAAAAACATAGTTTAACCCTCTGGGGTTGTTCGGCCCAAATGGACCCGAAGAATTTAAATTAAAAAAAAATGTAAAATCACAGCTTCCTCGGAATAGTCCGAAATTTGGTGACTTTGTTGGTATTTGAACACCCCCAAAAAATGGGGACAGGATGTGAATAGTCTAAGTGGTTGTAAAAAAATAGTCACACTTAGGGCGTTCGGTCGAAATGGACCCGCATGGAAAATGAATGGGAAATTGGCAAAAATGTGAAAATACTGATTTTTTTTTTTGTGCGTACAATCTACAAATCAGCCACGATCTTGAAAAAAAGCACACAACAGTGAAGGGGTGAATCTATAAAACATCAAGAGTGCAAAACAGACACATCCAGAAACACACACACAAACACACGTTTATACACAAACACACCAAAAATTCAGATTATACATGCAGTTTTGCATTTTTAAAATGCTCAGTTTGTCCACCAGATGGCATCCATCTCATTTCAAAAATTGCTTTTATGAGGCCTAGGCTTGACTCTAAAATGAAATACAACTTTAAAAAAAATTAAATAAATTTAGAATAAATTTCTATTATGTTCAATGGGTGTAAATTGTCATAATTATTGCATTAATACTAATTATACATTTTTTTTATTTTTGAAATTTTCTCAAAACACCAAAAAAGAAAAGAAAAAATATTATAAAAAATGAGTACAAAAAAAAAAAATGATTATTTTTTTTTTTTTAAATATGAATCCCGCCCTTTGGGTCCATTTGGACCCGAACATGGACGATGACTCTGAAACGAACAACCCCAGAGGGTTAAATAAAAGTGTGTAATTAACTCTCTCTCTTCTCTCACTGCAGGCGAGGAGTGTCTTTCTTACTGTCCACCTTCCCAAGCAAGAGTCAAAATGAATTTAGAGACATACTGTCTCAAGGATTATGGTATGTCCTTAGGGAAGTTTGTTTAAACCTCAGAATACATTTAAGAAATAGTCACTTGATTATATAGTCACTAATATAGCAAACATGCTGAGAGATGTGTAAATCACAACTGAGACGTTTATTCACAACTGAGACGTTTATTTCTATATAAAAAAGTGAAAATGTATAGATTTAGATTTCTTTTGAAAATGACTGAAACGTGAGAAGCTTAAAATCTGAATTCCTATTTTGTGTCTCGTATGCATTAGTGACCGTTCTCACAGAACATGGTTTTCCACTGCACTACTTTAGTTTTTTTACTTAAAGGGATAGTTCACTTTGAAATTAATTTTTGGTTTTTACCTCAAGGGCATCCAAAGCAGGTGTCTTTGTTTCCACTGTAGTTTAAATTTTTATTTTTAGGTCAAACCGTTCTTGTCTGTCAGTCATATAATGAAAGTCTATGGTCACCACCTCAAAGAGCATGCACAGAGAAGTCCAAATTAAACATGATTTAATGACTCGTAAATGTAAGTACACATTGATGGCCTGAGACACGAAACGAGCGGTTTGTGTGAGAAAACGAACAGTATTTATATTGTTTTTACCTACTGTAATCACAGTCACGTCCAAGTACTCTGAGGCCACGGGCGCTTCGGTCTGTGCAAGCGCCGGAAAGCGCTGGAAGTAAATATAGTTGTGAAAAAAAAAAAAAATCAATGTCGTCTTCCATTGCAATTTCCTGTTTATCTAAATTTGTTTAGATCTTCACAGTGAAAGGTAACACTTCCAAAATCTCTGTGTAAACAATGAGTGACGTACACGCGCGAGAGATCACTTCCGGGGCTTTCAGATCACTTGGACGTGGCTGTGGTTACAAGAGGTAAAAACGATATAAATACAGTTCGTTTTCTCACACAAACCGCTCGTTTCGTGTCTTAGGCCATCAATGTGTACTTACATTTAGAGTCATTAAATCATGTATAATTTGGACTTCTCTGTGCATGCTCTTTGAGGTGGTGACCATAGACCTCCATTATATGACTGACAGACACGATCTAGGATGCCCTTATGGTAAGCTAATACATAAAATTAATTTCAAAGTGAACTATCCCTTTAATCGTGTGTTATGAATGTGTGATGGTATTTTGAAGTGTCTTTTGCATGACATGCCTTTCTAAAAACGTGTAAAAAATTTTAAAAAGTGCAATTTTGTGGTGCCTATAACGTGTACAATGTGCAACGAGGGCCCATTCACACAGTTCCTGTAGTCTATTAAAGTCTTTAGTCAAGTTTAGTCATCCTTGTCCCTGTTTTCTGTCATATTTTTGTTGCAGTGCTGAAGGTGCAGGTAAAAGGTAAGGAACGCTCTGGTCCATGGTGGCAGTTTTCCATATTGGTGCAGTCTGTTTTTCGCATGGGCTCTTCGCACGTAAAGCGAGGCGTTCAGGCCCTCTGGGTTCCCGATCGGGATCTGAGCTGCGGCTGCCCTGCGCTTCAGATGGGCCGAAGCTTTCTCCTGATCGGATCGGAGGAAAGCGGTCGGAGCTGGGTCCCCGAAGAGAGGCGACTAGTCGCAGACCGCACCACGATGGCTTTGCAGTGGAGGGAACACTGGAGCCCGAAATTAAGAGGCTTCCGCGGGCAGGACACCCGAGGAAAGTGCCCACAGGCAAACACCACTGCGCAGAAACACTCTCACCCAAACTCATACGAGGAATACACACCCCCACATCTCGACAAACATACACACACTGCGCATAAGCATCACTTAACCACACAATCCGGAGAATCAGACCTCAGACACGCACGAAAACACACCGTAACACACCTCGAAGAGGACCATAAGGAGGAAACCGTCACGCCGCCCTTCCTTCAGGAAACACAGCATGTGTTGCAGGACACCCAGGATCCTCTCTCAGGTGATTTAAGGACAAGTCAGGACAGCAAACACGGGCGGTACCATCCGACAGCGTGTCCGACGTGGTCACCTGGCTGAAACAGGGAGACATTATGAGCTGGAATATACAAAAAGAAGTTAAGAAATGCCTGGAGTGGGCTTTGGCTCAGACAAATGCATAGTGAGGGATATTTCGGTTGTCTGTTTCTTATACAGAGCCACTCAAACCAATGAATATTCGCACGCTTTTGCTGCGAGCATCTCTGTATTTTTGTATTTTGTCCTACATATTCATTATATTACAGAGCTGTTTGTAAAACATGCAGGTGTTTTTCATGCTCTTCTTCATGTCACATGCTCTGCACCTTCAGTCAGGAAAAGACGAGTCTGATCCAACTATTAAAAGACGGAAAATCGCCGTGTTTTACTCACTTGAGTTGTTTCTTAAATGTCGCTAAAATGTCGGACAGTCATACATGTCAGACTGTAAGAGATACATTGTTTTCAGATCAGCAGCTGACAAATCTTACCCAATCTGGTCTCGGTCATTGACACACGTTAAGTGTGGCTAAAGAGAGTAAAATGTAAAATATGTCAGTGCGGATTATGTGCCCACAGTAATTAAAGTAGGTTTTTTTTGGTACCACTTTGTTCCATACGATGTACTTATAACAGTATTTACAATAACTTAGGCATAAACCCTGAACCTACCCCAAAACCTAACCTTAACCAATGTTGTTACCTTATTTACCCAGTATTTTCTCACGTAAGGACACGTACTGTAAAATAAAGTGCAACCGCTTTTATTTTTCTCTCAATGAATGAATTCAGGCTGTGTACTTAATATGGTGCCTTTTTAAATGGATTGTTCACCCAAAAAATTAAATCCTAGAATTTACTCTCCCTAAAATTGTTCCCAACCTGAATGAGAATGAAGAAATTTTGAAGAAAGTCGGTAACCAAACAAGATAATGGGCCCCATTGACTTCCATAGTATTTTCCACCCACGATGACAATGAAAGTCAATGGGTTTCCAACAAATGTTTGGTTATCCATATTCTTCAAAATATCATCTTTTGTGTTCAGCAGTAGAGAAAGAAACTCATACAGGTTTGGAAACAATTTGAAGCAGAGTAAAATATGGGTGACCTATCCCTTTAAGTCTTATTACTTGTGAATATTTTAAACTACCATACAATATGTAAATGTTAAAAAATATTTATGCATCAAATGTGACTTTTCTGTTTAACTTAACGCTCTACCTCATAATAAATATTGTTAACAAGACCGGTCATGTTTATTCCATTTCCATTTAAATAAATTCAAGAAACAAAAGGGACAAAATCAGTGTTTAAAAAAAAAAAATTAACGTTACTAAGGAAAAAAAAAACCCACATACACACGTTCATGTGACACACAAAACGGAAAGGGGAAAGACAAATGGCGAAAGACCGTAAACGCGCGCAATGATGATGCACCTGCTTTGTTTGCGCAGGAAACACCTGTTCCCAGTCTTCCTCTCTGGCTGACTGACGAGTTAATTTAGTGTAAAATCTCCCACAGCTTGAAGGGCCAAACTGCCTTCTGCCTGCCTTGTTTTGAGAACAATATAGCAGGAAGTCTTTCTCGCTAACTCTCGTGCCCTAATACCCACATGTTCTGTATTTTGTCTAGCAGCCAAGTACGTGTATCAGATAACACTCTTAACACTATCTGAACACACAGTTGTGAGACGTAACGTTAAATACATGGCATACGTGACATTTTTTTCACATACAAAATAGTTCCAACTCACCTGTACATTTAACCATGAATTGAATGCAATATTCTGGGTTCAGTACAGGTGCATTAATCGACAGAACATAACAAAATAAGCTTCCCCTTTTTTCTTCTACATAGGGGCTAAATGCATTGTTCAGAAGCCTTTGTTATTAGTGACACTGGTGGCCGTTAAGTGAACTGCAGCCTGCAATTTGTGCTCGTGCTCGCACCGGCTCGCACTCGAAAGTGCACGTTTTCCCGGCAAAAACGTCCCGAGTCCTTTACATAAATCAGTCTACTGGCTTTCAGACACAACGTAGGAAGTCGAGGAAGTTTAAAGGAAGGGTATGAGATTTGCAAGACGGCCGGCAGATTTTGAAACTACACAATTCAAAAGGTCATACCTTCTTTCCTCAAATGCTGGCCCTGACTTGCGCGAGGGGGGTGGGGGAAGGGGTATACGCATTATTCACGACAGCGCCATCTTTGATTTTTTAATGAGAATGAAAGCGAGGCTGTGAGGGATAGACATTTATCTCTTCGATGGGCTGTACTGATATTTGATGTGCTTTCGTTTTGTTCTGCTCATGAAACACTGGAAAAATATCTTTCCAAGAAATTTTAGTTGACAAAACTCCCAACAATATAAGCTGTGGAAAATTGTAAGTAATAGGAGCTTTATTCAGCTTTTTACAGCGGATGCCATTAGAAACACGGTAAGTCTATCCCTCACAGCCTCACTTTCATACCTGTCATGGCGCTGCTCTGAATAAGGTCTATGGTACGACCGTATGATTGACACACTTACTTTCCAATGATTCCAGGTGGTCTTGGAAATGATTGGCTGGGTCCTGCCCGTTCCACAGATGATTAAATTGCCTAATTTTCAATTCAGTGCTTTTAACTCAGTGGCTGTAAGCGGGTTAGGAATAGGATTTCAAGTGATTTTGAAAAAATGGTCAACTGTTCACACCTTGGCAATAAAAAGCAATTAATACATGGAGGTTCTAGCCACTTGAAACTGAAAAAATTAACAATGTGAGTAAAATACTGTTTTGGAAGGATGTATAGCCTATACAGTAGGAGCCGTGTAGTGTTTAAAAATAGCTTAAAAACACAGCTTTTCTGTGTATGCTATATCCCAACAACACAACTTTAACAAATACAAGTTTGAACAGAATGTAAGTGGTTTTATACAATTATAGCCTTAAAATTTTGTTATTAAAAAAATCCTGATTACAATTCCTATATGTTTTTCTTGTTTGAGAAGCAGTATGTCATGTCACAATAAGGAAGAAAAGACTATCACAACTTCGGTCTCATGCCAGCTTTAAGGAAAAATGAGGGAGCGTCAATTCTTCGGAGGAAATCAACATTATGCCACTGAACCCGGAATATTCTTTTAGGAAACAAATGCAGGTGGAATTAACGTCAAGCTCTGGATCCGGTGTGTTTACTGGCTGGCAAGGGGGATTTTTTACGAGACATGAAGCCTACGGTACATTACAGAGGCAAAGTTCAACAACCTCAACCGCACTCACTCACGCTTTCTCACTTTCTTCTGTTCTTTCTCACAGTGTGTGAGTAATGATACCCCAGATTGAACCTCACAGTTTAATAAGCCTTCGCGAACATGTTGCTAACACACCCTTGTTCAGATCACGCATAGACGGGCACAGGGAACCAGATACACACACGGCTTCTGTTAACCCGAGAGTGAGGAGGTCAATCCAGTTGATCCCTTGCATGCATGCCTCTCATACGAACACACTGCGTCCATGGCAACAAGATTCCTGCTTGGCGTTAACGCTAATAAAACCGGTGCCATCTGTGGTACATATATACTGGTACTACCCTTAACAGAACACATATAGGCTACATAATAATGTGTAAAGAAAAAAATACATCCAAACAGTGACAAAATGGCAGTCGTAATTACCTTTTGCGTGGGTTTCTAGTGGATCTGCATCTGTGTGTCATCAGGATGTGCTGCTGTTTGGGTTTGCTAAAATTAAAATGAACTTTGACCTTCCAAACCTTAATTAGGCTTGATTGGGCTAACTGGCGGACGGGTTATTTTGTACTAAAAAATAATGAAAACACCTGCCTTGATGAAATGTTACTCTTTCTTTGTGCAAATGAGAAAGCTTGGCTAAATTTCAACTTTAAAGTTGATCGTGACATTTTTAATCCATTAATATTGCTAAATAATTTCACTACATATTCTGAAGTTGTCAGCTCGACTATCCTTAATTGCAACAGAAAGTTTTTAGTAAAGTTTTTTGTTTTGGTTTTAGTATCGTTTCCATTTTATGTGCAAAATTGGAAACCCTGCTTTATTCGCAAATGTTTTGTTGGATATTCCAAAACAAAATTGTCACTTCTTTGTAATAAACATTGACATTGGAACATTGGAAGTTGAACTGTGACCGTGTCTAAAATCCCCCATATACCCTTAGATAGGGCACTATTTGAGTAGACAGCTATTTGTAGTGGTGTCTGAAACCATACGACGTTAACGAGTGCACTCATTCAATCCAACAATGCACCGCAATAACAACTGTACAACTTCTCTACATCCTAATGTCAGAGGGTGAGATGTTTAAATAAAGGTTTGAGTGGCTAATAATCAGTTTAACCTGATAAAAAAATACTGTTTTCATGTTATTTGTGTTATATTTAGTCTACAATAACAATGTGGACTTGTATAACGATCCATTCATAAAAGGTACACTGTACCTTCACACAGTACACTGTAAAAAAAAGTGAGTTAATACAATGGAGATTGATTTAATCATCAGAAACTCAAACTAATAAGTTATCTCAACTAAATAAATTATTTAAGTTGATTTGACAAAAGAAGCTTACAGTGTACAAATGTGTCATGAATATATACACTCAGAAGAAAAGGTTCTATATAGAATCTTAAAAGGTTCTATCAGTGCTATGTATTTGGAACCCCTAAAAGGTTCTATACACTCTTAAAAAAGGGTTCCTCTGGGTTCTATATAGAACCCTGGGGTTCCATACTTGGCCAATAGAACCTTTTACCAAAAAAAAAAAAATGGTTCTATATAGTTCCATATATGAAACGGGGGATGGAACCATTTCTGGTTCTAAATAGAACCATTTTCTTCTAAGAGTGTATATATTTGGGATGAGCACAGATATTGACTCGTATTACTCGTATAATACACGTACTCGACAAAAGTGCTTTATCCGTACCGGATACTCGTTTCAACTCTAATATAGGCTACAGTATATAAATATATATATATATATATATATACAGCTGATTTTATATTTTAGGAAGGTGCTCGCTTGCAAGGGGATTATCATATATAGGGGTCCTTGGCATCAAGATGATTGAAAACCCCTGTGCTAAAGTGATCATATTTCATGTGGCTATTTTGTCTGTTAGCATCTGATGTACATTTCAAACTGCCCTCTAATCTCAGCTTCAGTTCGACCCCCTACAGAAGTACAGCCGTTGCTAATAATGTCCATCTTTCATTGTGCTTTTCCCCATTCAATCCATCATTCACTCCTTTTCATACTAATATCCAGACTGTTTCTGATCATCCCGTCTGCGTTAGCACTTAACCGCAGGAACCTGTTTTATTGGTGGCCGTCTTAGCGTGGGAGCACTGATTTTTTTCGTAACTCATTTGATGCTATACGTTGTAACCGGGTTCATGTCTGGATGGCGTTACGGCACACATCTGACATCGCTGCACTTTTCCTGACTGGAACGCTGGGAACGGGAGCGCTTTTTCCGAGTTTGGATTATGGATCAAAGGGAGGGAGAGAGAATCCCACCCCGGCCAGGTGGGGCATAAGCTGAGGTGAAAAGCAACACCCAGAAACCGCGGGAGAGAGGTTAGGAAGTATGGGTCTCTTTGAAGTGCGGCTGCATGTCATGGTGAACTTGGTCTTGTTGAAGCTGAACCGTAGCGGATTGATTTGCATGGAGGTGGGGAGAGCGGCAGAGTTATTGGTGACCCCCACAAGTGTGTGTGTGTGTTGTGTGAGAATTGGCCATCTGTGGTAGGATATTACAAGTGTCTCACTTCACCTTTCTCCCCCCTATTACCCTCTCGGCCCACCCAGAGTGTCTGTTTCTAAAAGGTCCTAGTCAGTCGAGGCCTTTAACCCTTGTGCTGCATTAGATTTTTAACACCGTTGAGTGCATTAAGGACCAAAAATGGCCACATATTAAACATTGCCTAAAATATTATATATTATTATTATTTTCCACTTTTACCAAGTTAAATCTTTTAACCAGCATCAGTCCTCATCATAGCTACCAAAAATGTATTCAATTTCAGGATTTTAACCCTTTAATTACCAGTTTTGTTTGCGAAACCATCGATTTGTATAAGAGGAAAAAACACAAAAATTCAATTATTTTCAATAAACTAAATGCAAAGAGAAAACTTTAGATTTGGATTATCACAGTCCCACTTTGCAAAAAATCCCACTTAGCGCGTTAGAGACCAAAAATGGCCACCTATTAAACATTGCCTATTGCCTAAAATAAGGTGCATTTCCACCCATAGGGAATAAATATGTAGTGACGTCATCTGGTGGAATACACTATATAATGCAAATATAATGCTTTTGCTTCAAAATGAAAGGATGTTTGTGCAAAAATCATGTTTCATGTATTACTGACAGCCTCAGATTTAAACAACGTTTTAATGGGTTTCAATGGGCCATTTTTGGTCTTTATGGTGCTGAGTGTTACTATTTGATCTACACAGTGTGTGTTATACATATTTTGCAAAATGGGATCACATTTTTTACATGTATCCAAAAAGTCACAATTTTGCCAAATTTCATACCATTTGCATTAAAACAGCCAAAATGGTCAAAGAAATTAAACTGCAAAAGACCAAAAATGTCCCTAATGCAGCATAAGGGTTAAATACATTTAGAAAATACTTTTCTGTCCTGGATCAAAGGACGCTCGGCCCTGTTTACGCCTGGAATTAAGCTGCGTTTTGGTCGATCGGATCACAAGTAGACGAGGGAGACATACACGTACACCTGGTGTTTTAATCCGTCTCTTTTGTCCACTTTCAATCACTTCTGTCCTGATTTCTTCAAGGGGAGGGTCTATGGGCGGGTAAATGCACAAAAAAAATGATATGTTGGCTTTAATTAACTTTTTTATGTCAACAGGTTCCACATAACCGGGTTATGTTAAACAAACATAATTTGTTCATGTAACTTCAACATAATGGAATTAAGTAATTTTAAGCGATGAACACTGAAGCAGTGTTAAAGTTAATGAGATAATTAAGTGAATAATCCAGGGATGATGGATCATTATTGAAGACACCTGATGGTAACAAGCAGAATCACTGAAGGAGAAAACAGTAAGTAGCAAGTCACCATTATGGTGATCAATGTGTGCTCTTAATCATTTTGACTTGAAATATTTTTTTCTATTAAGGTCTATGTATGTCTCAACTTAACAGTACAAAATGCTTATGCGTTGTCTAAACACAAATCATTTATGTTAAGTAAAAACTTTCGTACATCCAGAGGGTGGCAGTATAGTGCGTGCCGATTGCCATTTTGCCCGAACTTAATTTGATTGTGTTCAATCTGCTTAAATATATGTGCAATTTAAGTTTACTTAATACGTTTATGTTGGATTACCTGATTTATTTGTTTTGAATTAACTGAAACTGGGCGGTGCTTGTTAGTTCCCAGCATGCTTTGCATATGGTTGAATTAAGAGAGAATAAATGTTAAAATTAAGTGTTATTTTATCTGTTTTTGAGAAATTTAGAAAAGGCGAAGACTTGATAGTGTGTAATTGTGTTTAACGTTAAATTACATTGAAGTTACATGAACAAATTATGTTTGTTTAACGTAAACCAGTTATGTGGAACCTGTTGACGAAATAAAATTAATTAAAGCCAACATATAATTTGGCTTTAATCTGGCCAGAGCTTCCCATAATGTTACACGTTAGATCATTAGGGGAGAGTAGGCGGTCTATTGTGGCTGTTTGAATTCATTCGATCACATCCAGTCTGGTTTAATGTGTTTTTGACTACCTCTGGAAGTGGTGGAAGATGGACAAGCTCAAAACGTTTTAAACCCCGTTTACACCTGTATTTAGCGTCGTCCACTTGTGATCCGATCGACCAAAACGCATACAAACGGGACCGTTAATTCAACTTACAGTAACTTACAGAAGCGTCTCGAATACGGTCTGTATGAACGTGCAAATTATAAAATGAAACCGTGCAATGGTAAATGTGACTGTATTTTAGTACTGAAACATTAAAAAATGGTCAACTTGTGGTCATGTCGTTTTTTTTTTTTTAATGACATTAAAAATCTTAAAATAAAATATGAAACATCTGTAAAATAAAGCGAGTTGAACATGGATATGCAGACAGACAGGAGTCTGCTGATGGCTCATGTCTCTAGCTCATCAATATCCAGATGTTTTGTGAGAAGAGCTTCTGGAAGGTTCTGACACTGCAGATAGAGGAAAATCACCTGAACCTGTGACCAGAAAAACAAAAACACACGTGTGGATGTGAAAAATCATGCGAGACGACACAGGGCTAGGATTGGCTCACTACCCTGTCAATGTTCTCTTCCCCGCTGTGATTGGCTGATTACTTCACACTTGGTCTACAAATTGGCCTGAATGGGTCAAACTGATAACATGTGATCATAATGGAACTTGAAGTGTTTGCCAAAAATGTAAATAAATAATGGTCAGCAAAAAAGTGACTATTAATAATAATATCTGAATAACAGTCATAAGCAGGGATGCACAGTTAATGCTTAGTGCAGTTTTCAATTCAGCATGGCTGCGATTTAATACAATTATATACATATGAAGTTGAACTGCATGTTTCGGAGTGAAAATGTAATGAGAAGTGCTTACAAACTGGATGTGGTTAACAAAAGCGAAGCTTTAATGGCTTCCTGTGGTATCCTGTCCAGATAAAAGCTTGATGATTTAATGTTTAAAAATGAAGAAATTGAGCTATAAACATTTGTATTGTAATTGTAAGGTAAAATAAAATTATTTTTCTTAAAGGACAACTCCGGCGCAAAATGAACCTTTGGTCTAATAACACATTGTTACCTAGTCAACCGTTATCTGAGATTTGTTTTCATGATTGCCGAATGTAAATAGTTTTATCTCTAAAAACAGTTTAGCCTATAACGCTAGTATAATGCTAGTATATAGGGCATAGAGTAATGACAAATAAAAATCGCTTGTTATTACCACTAAAAAGGCTCAAAATAGCCCCACACCAACGCAACAGCATAACAAGAGTCCCTACATTCAAACCGAAGCATTGAGAACTTTGTCAGTGTCCAAACAGTTTAATAAGAAGATATTTTATACATAGTCAACTTCGCGAATACAGGAAGAAGCCATCTTAGAAAAATAGTCTCGACCAGTCGATCTACAAACGCCGATCCAAGTGCGCTGGTGAGATGTGAACAAGGTGATAATGTGAGCGCGAACAGTAGGCTACGTGTACATATTGAAGACAAGTAAACGGTTTGTGTTTGTGTTTCTTCCGGACCATATAAGATTCTTCACAGTTCAGCGCACTTGGATCGGCGCTCGTAGATCGACTGGTCGAGACTATTTTTCAAAGATGGCTTCTTCCTGTATTCGCGAAGTTGACTGTGTGTATAAAATATCTTCTTATTAAACTGTATGGACACTGACAAAGTCCTTAATGCTTCAGTTTGAATGTAGGGACCCTTATTATGCTACCGTGTTAGTGTGGGGCTATTTTGAGCCTTGTTAGTGGTAATAACAAGCGATTTTTATTTGTCATTACTCTATGCCCTATATACTAGCATTATACTAGCGTTATAGGCTAAACTGTTTTTAGAAATAAAACTATTTACATTCGGCAATCATGAAAACAAATCTCGGATAACGGTTGACTAGGTAGCAATGTGTAATTAGACCAAAGGTTCATTTTGCGCCGGAGTTGTCCTTTAAATACTCTATTTTTGAGTTTACATTGAAATATTACAATAGTAATATTTTTATTTAGATTAATATTTTATTTAGTAATAATAAATATTATCATAGTAAAATTTATATAAAATGTTTTACCCCTAAATAATCATGCAGGCCAAGAAAAGCTGGAAAGAAATATAGTTTTTACTGTATTACTGTACAAAAATATGATTGTAAAATGGGATTATAATTAGTTGCTTGTTAAGATAAATAGGCCATTAACCCAACACTCGTGGAAACAACAAATGGAAATGTAAAAGTCAACATCATTGTAGTAGGGACGATACGCTAGTATCCACTGAGTGTAGAAATGTGGTTTCACTTCTTTTAAAATAAACCCCAGATGACCAAAATACAAAAAAATGCACGCGTGTGTGTGTGTGTAAACCATGAGGCTTCCAGGAAATCATCTCCCTCATAAAAGCACAATACTACACTAGACACTTCAAACGTTAATGTTTAGTAATGAAGTAGCATTAATAACTCACCTGAACCTCCACTTCTTGAGATATGTCGACACGAGCCACTAGAGGGCGCAAGAGGCTGGGGCCAAACACTGTGGCCAAATTACTCAGAGACATTTTATTCTCTTCCTTTCTCTCTGCAACACTGAGGAAGCCAAGAAAAGAGAGAGTTATGTGCATGAAGAAAACAGAGAAACATATTATTTTTTATTTACTGTGCATCCATCGATGGCAATAGTGATGTCAGGTCTGTCTGGTGTGAAACTAAATCAGTGTTTTGACAGTTACGTGTCCAAAGGATGTTATGTACCGTCTCAGGTGATGTAAGAGGAAGAGGAGAGTGTTGCGGTTTACATCTGGAAGAGCCTGCAACAGAGTCAGCATGCTGTCAGCCCTGAGATATGGATCAGCAATCTCTAGAGAGAGAGAGAGAGAGAGAGATTGTCGTTACAAATGCTCAGTGTTGGGTAAGTTACTCTAAAAAAGTAATAAATTACTAGTTACCTCTTCAACAGTGTAATTAGATTACTGTACTAATTACTCTCTCTAAAAAGTATTTAATTACTTTTAATTACTTTCAAAATCCCATATCAATCTCAACCAGCTGAATAATACAAGGATAGACATGAATCTGTTTTAATTCTTTCAAATAAATACTATAAAATTGCATGAATTTACTAGTTACTAATTACTTCTTCAACAGTGTAATTAGATTACTGTACCAATTACTCTTTCTAAAAAGTATTTAATTACTTTTAATTACTAATTACTTTCAAAATCCATCTGGGATTGGACATGAATCTGTTTTAATTCTTTCAAATAAATACTATAAAACTGCATGAATTATCCTTAAACTGACCAAGATGGAGAAGGTTACATTATAAAAACATACTTTTTAACATCAGACAACACATTTTGATGTTAAACCCACTATTGTTTTATGTCTGATCTCATGACATTTCACACTTTTTTCATACATATTTTACAATAATTCATACGAATTTGTACGAGTGCGGTCGTATGATTTAGACACCTCATAAAATGCATACAAATCGCTGTGAGATCGGATTGATCTATACACAGTATTTACCTCAATTACATCAGAAGTAACTGTAATTAAATTACAGATAAATGAAAGAGTAATCCCTTGCTTTACATTTTCAAGGGAACAGTAATTAAATTTTAGTAAATAAAATAATTACTAAGTAATTAGTTACACCCAACACTGCAAATGCTTCATCATCATCATCATCATTGTTGCATGTGCAATTGTTGACCTGTGTGAAGGGCTCACCTAGTGCATCTGAGAGCTCCTTGAAGTACTCAGAGGGAATAAGAGATAAAGGAAGTTCTCTAAAGTACAGTTTCAGAGTGCCTGAGACAGCATTCACATCTGTACTCCTCAGTTTACTCACAGCCTCGCGGTAATCTACAGAGAGAGAGAAGCACACTTTAGAGGTAAGTACTGAGAAAATCACACACAAAGGGTTTGGCGACACAAAGACAAAAGAACTGATAAAAACAAGCTATTACTGTATGTAGGAGCAATAGCCTTGTGCTAATAGCTGTATCATAGTTATTCAGTTTAGTCTTTCGAGAAGAAATCCACAAGTTTCCGAGGGGCGCTCCTGTAAAAAATAAAGTGGGTGAAACTTACGGTGACGCGGCGGAAGTAGCAGATTCCAACGGTATTTTGTGTGTTAGTTAGCGAAGAGGCTAGCTGTTTTTCAGGGGATTATTTTACTATTTAGAGACGCAAATCTTTATGAGAGATGTCGTTACGGAGCTCAGGGACAACATGTGCTGTTCGCGGTTGTATGTATAACCGGACTAAACTAATTCAGTGGCTTAAACGTGATTGTTTTGAACATAAGCTGAAAACGAAATCAGAGTGATCCTGCCAGAGCCCGTCTCTGATCCTGCCAACGACTGTAGTTTCCATCATCTCCCAAAAGACGACGAATCTTCCTGTGTACATTTGTTTGAATTTTTAATATTCTATAAACTCTATCAGCATGTGATTGGCTGTTCGCTACTGATGTTACACCTAAACTCAGGATCAAAGCCTGTGAATACCAAATGTGCCAGTTAATATATTCAAGTAGCACATTCATTTATAACTTTGAATAAACTCCAAAGCACAATGACTAAGTGTGTATTTTTTATTTTAATTGTTTGTCAGCTCACACAACTGTCTGTCACCATGCCTTGATGAGTATTGATTAATTATAATGTTATTATAACCAACTACTGCGGAGGGTAAAGGTAGTGTTATTTCACCCTTTTTAATTTCGTTGAGGTTGTGTTCCCACATCGTTAGCTAGTTTGGATCGCTATAACTTGAATGACTGTCAACTGTTGAATGAACGAGTGTCAAGTATGTCAAGTCGAGCTTTGTTTACTTCAAACCGGAAGATGCGCCCACTTTTGACGCAGGCCTCACGGGGCGTAGGAAACTTGTGGATATGTTCATTAATGTGACTAACTCGACTTTAATCGCATAAATGTTGACTTTATCAGATCTGAAGTTGTTGTTCAACACACGCAGACTCACTAGTGTTGAATGCATGTTTAAGTGCTTGTATTTCGCTACTGGCTCCTGAGATTCTGTAGATGCCCTCTTCAGTCATGCCTCTCCTCTCAACCTCCTCCACACAGGAACGGACAATGTGAGGGACCAGCACACTCTCTTGCCTGCACACACACACACAATTAAGCCATTAAACACTTCTCACTCTGCTTTCATTTTCCTCTTCCTTTTTTTGATGACAAAACACCTCTATTTCTACATCACCTAAAAAGCAGAATCACAAATGAAAACCTCATGATGACAGAAGGAAGCTTATTGAAAGATTGTAACATGTGTCTTCCTCCTAATTTACAGATTATTTGGACACTTATATTACTTTGAAATTGTATTAATATCATTAAATTGAACAGAAGTGTACTTAAGATTTTAAAAATAATATTTTGAAATGTTTAGCTTGAGTACTGTTAAAATTTTAATAAATTAATATTCTTGCTATTTTCTTTGCTATCTAACGCAATAGCATTAATACATTTTTAATTGTGGCTTAAAGGTGCAGTATGAGCTATGAGCTCTAATGGTTAAAATGTTAAAATAGCTACTTCCGGTATTCGATGTACATTTTACTGTCCCATGAGGCCACGGGAGAGGATTTGTGAATGAGAGTGAAGCGATGTAACTGACGCTGGTAGGTCACATGATGATGACAACATGGAGAACGTACATCCTGATTACATTCTACACACTCATACTATATAGAACGTACTTTTTAGCGGTTGTGGAGTAAAATTATTCAAAATAAGCACCTACTCAAGAGAGTATGCGCTTTCGGATGCCAACTGGCAACCCTGGGTGTGAAAATACTGTTGGCTAAATTGGCAGCGGGCGGGAACATACAGACCATACATAAAAAAAATGACATTTTGATGAGGAATGCACATTTCAAAGAAGAATAGAATTGTTTTCCGGAGAAACAAGTTACTTATTGCAAACATATTATGGTATTTTGATGATTTAATAATAATAACACACACAAAAAATACATACAGCATCTGTTCAAATACTTCATAGACTAAATTTAAACAATACTGAATAAACACAGCATTATTGCAGCTTCCTAACAGTATTAGTAAGTTGTAATCTGTAAAAATGGTTTAGATTGTAAACTCACATTGCCACTTGTCCAATCGGCACACAGAACACTGGTTCCTGTACGAGAGGGGTGGTGCTAGGGGGCTCGAGAGGGTGGGGCACGTATTTGATTGACAGGGTTACATCAACTTGGCCCAAAGAACAAGTGACTTTCTTCCACTTCTTTAACATGTTATCAGGGTCCAGCTGTAAAGCACACATATACAGTTCCTTTATACATTATACCAACACCTAAATGGACAGACTGAACAAAAACTGTATATATTTGAGTTATTTAACCTAAAGCTTATAACAGATGATGGTAAAACCGTCAGTGAGTCTTAATGATTCGGTTATAGACCATAGTATTATGCACACTGGACTTCTGGTTTCAAATAAAACAGTTGTGCTGCTTAGTTTTTTGTGGAAACCATAAAACAGCCTTTTTTAAAGATTCTTTGATAAATAGATTAAACAAACAGTAATTATTTTACATTATAAATGTCTTCACTGACATGTTTAATCAATTAAATGCATCCTTGCTGAATAAAAGTATTATTTCCATAACCAAAATATCTTCTTGACCCCATACGTTAGAAAGGTATGTGTGAACTCACATTTAACACCGCCCTGCCCACAATGTCATCCTGTGTGTCATTCTCACACTGCGACACACATACCAAGAACAGCTGCTGAGCTCCGTCCACTTGAAACACAAGCTCCTATACACCATAAATCATCTCGTAAATTACGTACATTAACACAAATCACAGATTGTATTATCTGATTCCTAAAAATCCACAATGGCTTCCCCCCACTCACTTCATCCCATTGTGGTGTAACACAGAAGGCTGAAAGGGAGGTTTGTTTTCGTCTGTCGTAAAACTCAAAGCCGTCTACCTCCACACACACATATGCACCTGAAAGGTCCGGTGAAATAAAGACAAGAAGCTTATTGGAAGACATTGTTCAATGCATGGTATTTTAATTAAAGGTGCAGTAAGCGATTTCTGAAAAACACTGCATATATTTGAAATCAGCCCAAAAAAACACACCCCTCACTTCATTGCTCCACACCCGAAATGCATAAACAAGCGATGCAAGAGCTCTTCATCATCGCTGAAGCAAAATAAATACACCCAAAACTGGCCTGCTACTTTAGCTCAAATTACAACAACAGTAAATCTTGATTCTGTGAAACATGAAAAAAAAACAATGTTACTCGCATATGGAGCAGAAACAACACAACCTCTGCGTCCGTTTCAGGTCTTCCCGCTTCGGTCTCTCCAGCGCTAGAAAGCTTTTCTAATATTAATGCGGGTCGTAAAGCTCTTGCCTGATCATAACCCGTCTTTTCCAGTGATATTCCTCTAAGCTTTTTTGTAATGTCTCTCAGCATCTCTCTTTCTACAGTCTTCCTTCAAATCTCCCTCTGATCTCTCTCTCCTCCCACATCATGAATGGACATGCTCCCTACTGCTGATTGGCTCACTCTCTCCTCCCCCATAATGAGTGGATACGCCCCCTACTGCAGATTGGCTCACTCTCTTGCTGTGTCCGAAATCACCCACTACTCACTATATAGTGGACTATATAGTGAGCTCGCCATTTTGTAGTGCTGTCCGAATGTATAGTGATGATTATTATACCCTATATAGTCCACTCAATGTATCCCAGAATGCATACCATCATGCATTGCGCTGATCGTAAAAATAAGTTATAATCATGTGTGGAGTCGCGCATTATAACAGAAACGGCCAGAATTGACTTTTAGTTTTGAAATTTTTGAGAAATAAGCTCAATATAATGTAATGTATTTATTTAAAAAAATCTATTTATTTATCAGGCACCAGCTGACAGATGATGTAATGAACGGCGCCGAGAGACGATCGAGAAGTGTCCGAAAGTGGTGTTTCTGTTATGCTGGTGAGCTCACTATATAGTGCTCTACTCAGTGGTTTGAGTAGAGATTTCGGACATAGCGTCTGTCTCTCCTCCCCCCTCATGAGTGAACACGCCCCCTACTGCTGATTGGCTCACTCTCTCTCCTCCCCATCATGAGTGGACATGCCCCCTACTGCTGATTGGCTCACTCTCTCTCCTCTCCATCATGAGTGGACATGCCCCCTACTGCTGATTGGCTCACTCTCTCTCCTCCCCATCATGAGTGGACACGCCCCCTACTGCTGATTGGCTCACTCTCTCTCCTCCCCATCATGAGTGGACACGCCCCCTACTGCTGATTGGCTCACTCTCTCTACTCCCCCATCATGAGTGGACACGCCCCCTACTGCTGATTGGCTCACTCTCTCTACTCCCCCATCATGAGTGGACACGCCCCTACTGCTGATTGGCTCACTCTCTCTCCTCCCCCATCATGAGTGGACACGCCCTCTACTGCTGATTGGCTCACTCTCTCTACTCCCCATCATGAGTGGACACGCCCCCTACTGCTGATTGGCTCACTCTCTCTCCTCCCCCCTCATGAGTGAACACGCCCCCTACTGCTGATTGGCTCACTCTCTCTCCTCCCCCATCATGAGTGGACACGCCCTCTACTGCTGATTGGCTCACTCTCTCTACTCCCCCATCATGAGTGAACACGCCCCTACTGCTGTTTGGCTCACTCTCTCTCCTCCCCCCTCATGAGTGAACACGCCCCCTACTGCTGATTGGCTCACTCTCTCTCCTCCCCATCATGAGTGGACACGCCCCCTACTGCTGATTGGCTCACTCTCTCTCCTCCCCCATCATGAGTGGACATGCCCCCTACTGCTGATTGGCTCACTCTCTCCTCCCCCATCATGAGTGGACACACCCCTACTGCTGATTGGCTCACTCTCTCTCCTCCCCCATCATGAGTGGACACGCCCTCTACTGCTGATTGGCTCACTCTCTCTACTCCCCATCATGAGTGGACACGCCCCCTACTGCTGATTGGCTCACTCTCTCTCCTCCCCATCATGAGTGGACATGCCCCCTACTGCTGATTGGCTCACTCTCTCTCCTCCCCCATCATGAGTGGACACGCCCCCTACTGCTGATTGGCTCACTCTCTCTACTCCCCCATCATGAGTGGACACGCCCTCTACTGCTGATTGGCTCACTCTCTCTCCTCCCCCATCATGAGTGGACACGCCCTCTACTGCTGATTGGCTCACTCTCTCTCCTCCCCATCATGAGTGGACACGCCCCCTACTGCTGATTGGCTCACTCTCTCTCCTCCCCATCATGAGTGGACACGCCCCCTACTGCTGATTGGCTCACTCTCTTTACTCCCCCATCATGAGTGGACACGCCCCCTACTGCTGATTGGCTCACTCTCTCTACTCCCCTATTATGAGTGGACACGCCCCCTCCTGCTGATTGGCTCACTCTCTCTACTCCCCCATCATGAGTGGACACGCCCTCTACTGCTGATTGGCTCACTCTCTCTCCTCCCCCATCATGAGTGGACACGCCCTCTACTGCTGATTGGCTCACTCTCTCTACTCCCCCATCATGAGTGGACACGCCCCCTACTGCTGATTGGCTCACTCTCTCTCCTCCCCATCATGAGTGGACACGCCCCCTACTGCTGATTGGCTCACTCTCTCTACTCCCCCATCATGAGTGGACACGCCCCCTACTGCTGATTGGCTCACTCTCTCTACTCCCCTATTATGAGTGGACACGCCCCTACTGCTGATTGGCTCACTCTCTCTACTCCCCTATTATGAGTGGACACGCCCCTACTGCTGATTGGCTCACTCTCTCTACTCCCCTATTATGAGTGGACACGCCCCTACTGCTGATTGGCTCACTCTCTCTACTCCCCCATCATGAGTGGAAGCAGCGCTTTTCAGAAATTGCCTACTGGACCTTTTATAAGAATATGTACTGTATATTCTGCCTTGCCTTCAATGAAAATGTATACTTTATTAAATTATTAATTTTAATTTAAAATTATTGGGCACATTGTTTCTTTGTGGTGTGTTACTTCGGAAACACATTTTATGAAAGCAATATGCTTCATATTTAGGGCAGATTGTATGTGATGTGTTTGTGGGTTTGATGAGGCTCGGAAACTTCCCTTCGTCTATTGTCAACGTGTGTTTTGTCACTTACTGCTCGGGTGTTGCAGACCACACGCAGACTGAACCATCACATATAAACTGCCACATATGTGTGTACTCTCATCTGTCAAATTTAGAGAGAAAGAGAGCATTAGGTGTGCACAAGTTTACTGAGTAAAGGTTAGAAAGAGAGATAGAGAGGGTCTTTACTGGATCTAACGCAGTGAAGGGGAGGTTGTTGAGTCATTCTGAGTTTGATACAGGAACCAGTTACAGACAGCAGGTCTGGAGGAACCGTCTCTTTACCTGTCAAACACATACATACACAAAAATCGATCATAATATGATCATAAAAATCAATCATCAGGACAAAATACAGTTAGGAAAGATGCACTCACAGTTTCCGCTCTGTTTCTCAATGGCTTCTTTCCACTCATTCAGGTCACACAAAGAAAACAGTCGGACAGTGTGACTCTGTGGATGGAAATTTAAATCTAGTCATACTTGGGTTTTTGTTCACAAAATTTCTGCCTTATTTAACTGAACATCTTAGAGTTTTTTTATACTTGGCAAGCCTTTAAGCTCATTTCAGCTCATTAGGGGTATTAAACCTTTATTCTCTGTATCTATTCGACTGCTTTTAATAGTACAGTATGTATTGTGAAAAATGCTTTAGATAATGAATTTGTTTTTAGACACACAGAGGATGTTCTAGTGTGTCGTGTTGTGGTTTCACCTTTCCATTGGTGCTGTGTAGGTCTAAAGTAAAAGATGGTGTGTTTGTCAAGAGCCAGATCTCACACTCTTCAAACTTCCTCCTCAAGCGATCAACAGCACGAGAAACTGATCCCTTTCCTCCTTTCTGTAACAAACACACAATTATGAAGCTATCTAAAAGGGAACTTCACTTCTGTTCTGTTATTTAAAGGGGTGGTAAAGTATGATTTCACTTTTCTAATTTTAAGTAGTGTGTAATGTTGCAGTTTGAGCATAAACAAACATTATCAAAGTTACAACGCTCAAAAGTCAAAGCAAAGGAAGATATTTGCTTTTAAAGAAAAGGACTACAACAAACGACTGGTATCGGACTACACGACATTCCTCTAGGGTTAGTGACATCACCAACCCTAAAATGTACATAAACCCCGCCCCCGGGAACACGCAGTGCATGTTGAGAAGAGTAAGAGTGGTTGTATAAGAGTTCTGATTATATCACTTTTGCTCCTCCCCCATCATGAGTGGGCACGCCCCCTACTGCTGATTGGCTCACTCTCACTACTCCCCCATCATGAGTGGACACGCCCCCTACTGCTGATTGGCTCACTCTCACTCCTCCCCCATAATGAGTGGACACGCCCCCTACTGCTGATTGTCTCACTCTCTCTCCTCCCCCATCATGAGTGGACACGCCCCCTACTGCTGATTGGCTCTCTCTCTCTCTCCTCCCCCATCATGAGTGGATACGCCCCCTACTGCTGATTGGCTCACTCTCTCTCCTCCCCCACCATGAGTGGACACACCCCCTACTTCTGATTGGCTCACTCTCTCTCCTCCCCATCATGAGTGGATACGCCCCCTACTGCTGATTGGCTCTCTCTCTCTCCTCCCCCACCATGAGTGGAGATGCCCCTTAATGCTGATTGGCTCTCTCTCTCTCTCTCCTCCCCCATCATGAGTGAACACACCCCCTACTGCTGATTGGCTCTCTCTCTCTCCTCCCCCATCATGAGTGAACACACCCCCTACTGCTGATTGGCTCACTAACTCTCCTCCCCATCATGAGTGGACACGCCCCCTACTGCTGATTGGCTCATTCTTTCTCCTCCCCCACCATGAGTGGACACGCCCCCTACTGCTGATTGGCTCATTCTTTCTCCTCCCCCACCATGAGTGGACACGCCCCCTACTGCTGATTGGCTAAAAGAGTGTTGTGCTGCCACAACTGCACTTACTGCACCTTTAATTTAGCATATTTGTTTAGTTTAATGACTGAAAATCCCAGTCAATCCCATGCAAATTGCCTTACCATATGTTGCTGGAGTGCTTGTTTGAGCTGGAACATTTTAGCTCTGGTTTTACTGATTTTCATTTGGTAGTCTGATGAGGGCAGATGTTCAGCTGCCCAATGCAGCTTCAGGCCGACCAGTGGCAGGTACCAGCAAAATCTGTACTGCGCCTGCCTCCTTTAAAACACAATACACATAAGCTCATTCAGTACACATCCATATCATGCTAATACGTGACAGAATTGTTTTGAATTATGATGTTTTCAGTGAGCTGTGATCAGTGGAGGCTCACCCGGCACTTGTCAGTTTAGCACATAGCAGCATGTCGGCGTACAAGAAGAGGTGTCTCAGGTTGTGCCCACTCTCACACACATCCACCACAAACCCATCACGCAATAGTTGACGTCTCTGTGGACACGCACATGTTAAATTAAATTTAAACAAATTAAATGAGCATGAACACGTGACGCGTGCAGTGTAAGGTAAGGGAGTACCTCTCCTCTGCTAAGCATGACAGCACGTTTGCACTGCGACCTTTCATTGACCCCAGACAGGAAGCTGCTGGTGAGACGAAGCGCTTCCTGTAGCGTGATGCTGTCGGGATGATCGGGGGGCGTGTGCTTCCACAGGTCCTGAGGAGGATAGAGAAAAACGTTAATAAATCCATAGGCATCACTGTATATTTATAAATAAACGAGAGATGTGATCCTGAACAGTGTCTCACATGCAACACGAGGGTGGTTTTCATCACTCTGTCTAACGGCTTATACAGGAGAGCTGCGGAGAATGTTAAAAATTGAATGTTCCCAGCATTTAATCATTTACTCAAAACCATAAAGAGAAGCTGTTTACCTTCAAAAGTGTACTTAGTTTTGACATGGTCTGAGCCTTTGGAGGACATCATACTCTATAGATAACAAGAGACAAAGGGATTTGTGCAGTTCCTCTAAAAGACAATACAGTTAACTATAATGTGAACGGTGCAAGCAGTGCAAATCTCGGCACTCGCATTGTGTGATTGGAGACTTGATCCAATGATTCATGTTGTTGTATGTTTGCTAGGGTGCTCTAAATAGATGGTATGGCACAGAGATATGATCTTACACATGTCATGCCAATCTTAACCCTGTGGGATTTTTTTCCCCTCAGAATAAGTATGAGAGATAACAACAGTGATGTTTTGCAAAAAAAGAGATGCGTGTAAGACCTCTGCAAGCGTCCTGAAACGTTGGTCTGACTGCATACACTTTAGCACGATCTCCACTGCATTCTCATAGTTGTCAATGAAGCCCCGATACACACCTAACTGGTTGACCTGCAAATCACACCACAATAAAAAAAAGCAAGATTAATAATAAAAAAGTGCAGTTAACAGTAAAACTAACGCCTTACAAATGAGTGTTTTAATAATTATGACATTACATACAAAATAATATGGTAAGAAATCCCAATTTGCGATCTCAAACTGCATAACAAGCATTTTGTTCTATTTCTCTAGATTTTTTCGATGAAATCTGGGATTTCTGTCCCTCCATTGACAGTAGAGCCAGACCGATATATCAGCAGACCGATATTATCGGCCGATATTTATGCATCTATCGTTATCGGCAGTTATAATGGCCGATAAATGAACATTTCAACAATAAAATTAAAACGGACGAAACACGCTTGAACCATGTCATGAGTTTTGGAGTGGCATAGTTTGTCCACCAGAGGTCACTCTACACCGTCCCTGTTGGCAACACTCGTTGAGTTGGTCACAATACATACATTGCTTGAATAACAATTAAAAGAACATCCCCATCAGTTCTCTTAACTCAAATAAGCATGACAAAATTTGTGACTATCATGTTCAGTTTAAAAAAATAAATAAAATATCGGCCGATATACCGGAATATCGGATTTTAAAACCCAAAAATATTTGTATCGGCATCGGCCTTCAAAATCCGTTATCGGTCGGGCTCTAATTGACAGCTACGCAACTACCACTTTGATGCTTCGAAAAGTTCATTAAGAGATTGTAAAACTAATCCATATTAAATGAGCGGTTTGGTCTAAATTTTCTGAAGAGACTCGATCGCTTTATACGATGAACAGATAAACAGCGGACATAAACAGAAGCTCAAATGAACTTGCTTGACATGCGAAAACTTGAGTTTCTCTTTCTGAGTTCATAAATGTTTATATGTGAATAAAAACCTAAATTAAATCTGTTCATCATATAATGTGATCGAGTGTCTTCAGAAAACTTATTTTACGATCTCTTTATGAACGCGTCAAATTGGTAGTTGTGTAGCTGTCAATTGAGGGACAGAAAGCTCTCAGATTTCATCAGTTCTGAAGATGAACACAAGATGAAAGTCTTACACGTTTGGAATGACATGAGGGTGAGTAATTAATGAAAGAATTTACATTTTTCATTCCTTCCGACAAATCCGTCACTTAATAAACTCACCGAATCAGTCAGAGCGTCTTCATAATCAGCATATAACTCACTTACTGAACTATAATTCCACGAAATTGATTAATGATTAATATGACCACAAAAAAAATTTTAAAAGTTGACATTGGAGAGACTAAATGGGTCACTCGATACGTCACACAAATGATGATAGTGTCCGTTTTACTCCAGAAAAACACAAGCTGAATAAACACAGTAGCCTATATAAGTGCGTCGTATCCATAAACTCTCTCTCCCTTCTTTTGTAATTAACACACACACAGCGAATTACACAAAAACACTCGTTACAACTAACAGCAAATATATTCAGGGGGTTCTTAATAAACGGATACACTTTATATATCCGTAAAACAACTCTGATGAACTGTAATAGGCCCTTTCACTGCCGTGTATCGCTCCGCCCGGAGACTATAAGCTTACTTAAACCCAGGTGAGTAAAGTATTTTATTGAGCAGATTGCCATATGTAACTCAACAGTTAATTGTAAAGCATTATCTATTGTGAAGGCTCATTTCATGATGGCGCTAGAATTTATTTTTAAAGTACCGTGTGTATTAATCATAGTAGGCTATTAATAGGTAGGCTAACGTACAGATAAAGTCATGCATAACAGCTAGTCAGCCTGAGATCCTTTCCATCTAAATTGGTTATATCTCTTTAACCTTTAACCTATAATTTAGTTTTATGAGAGTTTGATGTCACACCAAAAATAAGGCCAGGAGAGAATATAGCATGTTCAGTTATCACTTCCGTTGTCAGTTGTGAACTGCGAATGGTTGTAAAATAAGATCAGTTTTATAATATGACCAACCTAAACACGTGTTTGCAAAAAAAATATATTAATAACAACTCCTCACAAACTTAAGAAACAGGTCTCCCACAGATAAATAATGCTCCGATTGGTAAAGCTGCATATCCGGGCCCTCCTCTGGCTGATCCATCCCTTTATCTGGCTGCAGTCTAGTCCGAAGGCTAGTGTAGAAGTCCTTGTGCAGATCTCTGAGCTCAGGGACTTGATAAAACACGGTCTGAACCTGCTCCGTGGACAACACGGGTTGAGAGGTTCCCGCTGCCGCCCTTAAAGCTCTCATGGGCTGCAGAGAAAGAGAAAACGGACAAACGTCAGAGAACAAAAGCAAGATTGGGAACTGAAATTTGCTTATGCTGAAAATAACTAATGCAGCCAGCTGGAAATTCACACATTCTTATGTAAACAACAATGCAAACTAACTCTGAAACATTTGTAAAACTAGGGTGACCAACAGTCCTGTTTTATTCACGTCTGGCTGTTTTTTTTATAAAGTGATGAAAATGTCCTGGTTTTCCAAAAAAAAAAAAAAAAACTGCTGGGAAAGATCAGCTCTACAGCGAAATATAGATGGGCAAACAAGGAGGATGAGGAAGAAAAACTAAAGATATAAAATATATTTTGTCAGTTTGTTTTTGTTCGTGAGAGCTATTTTTGGAGGTATTTCTTTCTTTATTTATATATTTATTTTTCTAATACTGACGAAACATTGTTTCATTCATTATTTTTGAAACCTGTCATAAAACATGTTGAGTAACCTCTGAATTTGTGTCTTGTAAACCATTTTTTATCCACACAGAGGCATAGCCTACTTTAAATGTATTGAAATTAATAAGGCATCTTTGACTAAACTTCGAGGATCATTTGAGTAGGCCTATTTGTTTGCCATCAAAATATGGTCACCTTAGTAAAACGTTTAAATACACTTTCCCCTATTCATATAAAACTGCTCTATGTGTGAATGCCTGGCACCATTCCTGTGAGGAAGTGGTTGAAAACACGACACTTTGTCATCCTGGACTTTTTCAAAACTCTAGTTTAATGATAACCACTAATGGTTTTTAACACTTTGACTAGAAAGGGAAGCAATACTTCACTAAGAGAAACAGAAGTTGACCTACAGGAAATGACAGAAGGGTCGACTAATATGATGTGCATCTGAAACCGCAGAGAAACGTAAAAAAAAAAGTGCTGAGGGGGGTCTTGAGCATGAGAAGAAACACTAACTTGATGTGGACCGGACAACTGTGAATAATCCCGAGGTGTTTGAAGACAAAACAAAGCAACAAACGGCATTGCAGTCATGCTTATTTTTTTATGAATAAAGGAAGTAGTTAATATGGCTTTGCAATATAAGCTGGAAATAACATTTATTATATCTTGACTTAATAAAATAAATAAAAATCGAACCACAGTTGTTTTCACTATCCGACTCACAAATGTCTGGAAAGTAAGAATCTTCTGACAACATACTGAGGAAATGTTTCAGCCAGGAAATGTGGATATATATATATATATACGAATATCTCATATCTAAATTTGAAAGTCTGAGCATACCGTAAGCAGCGTCTCCAGCTCTGACAGGTAGATCTCCTCGCTGGTTAAAACCCCTTTCAGGACCACCATTCTCTTCTGAAGCAGGTCATCTGGGCAATCGGCTGTCTGGAGAAAAACATTACAACGTTGTCCTTGCAGAACTAGGATAATTCAGCACTGAAAATAACCAGTAGCCTGTCATGTATTTGAATTTTTTTTTTGTCAATTATCAGTCTCGTTATTCTGATATAGACTTGCAATATACACAATATATTCATCTGTAAAGATGCAGACTTACTGGAGTGGATGGCAAACATGGTTCAGTTTGCAGAGGGCTGTGAGAAACCCACTCTGTCTCCTCAGGGAAAACATCCTGAAGTAAATCAGAATCCACCATCTCATCCTCAGTCACTGTTAGACAACATAACATAATATTACATACATATATATATATATATGCTTCAAGGCAGAAGTAAATAAACCAAGGCAACCATTTTAAGGCAAGGTTAATTTGGTTTAGACGGTCCTACCGAGCAAGATGCCATGGGACTTCAGATAGTCCACTGATTCTGTGTAGAGCTCCATCAGAGCTGCTCAGAGTCACGACACGCGGCTCTGTAGTCTATCTATGTGTGAATCCTCTCGCTTTCACATGTCACTGACAGGCGTTTGTGGTTCAAAAGCTCACTTTCTTCCTGCTTCTCAGAAAGTGCACTAAGAAATAGGCGGGGTAAGTCTGATGTTCATTCAAATACAAAACATGTCGCATTTACAATGACAGGAAGAAGGGGGGGGGGGGGGGCTATATCAAGATAAGATATAAGCAGGTCTACATACTAAAAAATTCACCAAAATGAATTCCAGGCAATGTGGGTCGTTCTGGCAAAATAAAGACTTGAACTTGAACCAGAACTTGAGAGCTGTTTCTATTTATTATTTGATTTCACAACAACAACAATAAAAACAATTTATATATGTTTACACGTGTCACATTATCCTTCAGAAATCATTTCAATATGGTTTGCTCTTAATAAACATTTGTTATTATCAAAGTATTATGTGTATGCTATAGCTAGGCTATATTAGTAGTAATAGCCTATGTACTGTATAATATAAATGTATGTAATATACTGTAATAGGCTACTTAATGTTTCTGGAAACTGGTACTTTTTTTCAGATTTCTTTGATAAATAAAAAGTTAAACAGCATTTCATTTTCATTTTATTGTTTATTTTTACAGGGACAATGCACAATTCAAAGTAATTGCACCAGAATTAGCTAATAGCTAGTTTACATCTGCTGTCTCTGCATTTGTTTCAAATAGAGATGTTTTGTAACTTTACAAATCTCTTTACTGTCACTTTTGATCAGTTTGTGTCCTAAAATATTAGGCTAGTTATAAATAATTTTTTTTTTTTAAATGCCCGAATTTCTTGCTATAAAAAATATATATAGCTGTGTAGATTTCATAGTCCATAACACTACTTGTTGCCAAAGCTGTGTGTAGTGAGGCATTCACTGACTGTTAAACACTGCCACCTTCTGAACACTACTGAAATAATGACCACAATCTAGGCTACATATCTCCCTACATACAAAATACCAGTTTGTTTAATTACTGTAATTACTATATATATATATATATATATAATATTAATAACGACAGAAAAGACAGAAAAATGACAGAAAAGCAAAGCACTCACCTTGATTTTTTGAGAAATCCCTCTTGGTTGTCCTCTGAATCAGTTGATCTTTTTTGGTGCCATTTGTGTTCTCCCTGGAGAAGCTTTTCTAATATTAACGCGGGTCTTAAAGCTCTTGCCTGATCATAACCCGTCTTTTCCAGGGATATTCCTCTGAGCTTTTCTCGTTTGTAATATCTCTCGGCATCGTGTTTCTTCAAATCTCCCTCCTGCTCACTCTCTCCTCCCCATCATGAGTGGACACGCCCCCTACTGCTGATTGGCTCAGTCTCTCTCCCCTCCCACATCATGAGTGGACACGCCCCCTACTGCTGATTGGCTCACTCTCTCTCCTACCACAGCTACGTTTTATCATGTTGGTTCACAACATGACTTTAATGATGAATAAAACATTTTAATGCTTTTTTTCCCTTAGTTGGTCAGAACAAAAGTGGATGTTACTTTTTGATCTAAGTAGTTGTTATAATATTATTCCAGATAGCTGTTGTTACCACATAAACACTGCGTCCCAATTCGCTTACTTATACTACGCCCTAAAAGTATGTACTCTTTTTGTGAGGAAAAAGTACATACTTTTGAGTGTGTAGCAAAAGAGTAGGCAAGCTTTTGGGACATACTATCACGTCATCTTTAACGGACAGCTCTGTCGCGTGCTGTGTGCATCCTGTCACCGTAAACTGCCCTGTCAATCATCTTGTCACCGTTAAAATTCTCCATTCAATCTAATTTTATTTCCTACCTTTTCAGAGAGCACGTTCATCTGCCAGTTGTGGGTCTTTCATGCTCTCCTCGTGTTTGCAATTTGAATATGATGCATTTAAAACGTAATGGCTAAACGTGTCTTTACAAAAGTTCACAATGCTGCTGCAAATGCAATATAATGTGGACAACATTGAATAAATTCATTTTCGTCAGGTTAGATACTGATAATTAATCACTGCACTTACCTCTCTACACTACCGCGTGGACTCGCGCGTCCTCCGTATTGACTACGAGTCTGTAGTTTTTTAACACTTTTTACTCGTGTTTGTAGTTCTAGCCGAATCCTCGGCGACAACGGCGTGTCTCTGGAAAATCCTATAGGAGGCACTACCGTCACACTCTGGTCTGTAACTTCTATCAGTCCTCCTCAATCGAGAAAATGATCTTCAAACACTTCTTTTGATACAACGCTTCTTTGGCTCGTCACACATGTAGATTACAAACATGTAGATTAGTAGACTAGAAATATTAACAAAACGCTTATTTATTACAAGAATAAAAAAAAAAATAAGTAGATCATCATTCCACATTAAATATTTTAGTTGTTGTCACATGTCAGATAATCTGTTCACGCTGCATAATTAAATCAGCAAGTGTTCAATTTAAAGGGTTAGTTCACCCAAAAATGGGGGGGAAAAAATAATCTTCGGAACACAAAAAAATCTGAGAGCTTTCTGTCCCTCTGCTGACACACAAGTTCATGTAGAGATCAAAACACTAATCCATATAAAATGATCAGTTTAGTCAAAATTTTCTCAATCGCTTTATATGATAAGAATGTAAAAATGTGAACCCTGAAAAGCAATGTAAGTCGCTTTGGATTAAAGCGTCTGCCAAATGCATAAATGTATAAATGTCATGTAAATGTAAATGATGACCAGATTGAATTTAGGCAAACATGAGCAGAAGGTGAAATGTGATGCATAACACGATAATGAACATCATTGGTTCTTGTGTGTCAAGCGAACATGCCTGAGGTTTAACTGATTAATGTTTATATATATATATATAATAAAAGCCTACATTAAATCTGTTCATCATATAAAGCAAAATAAAGTCTCTTCATCAAATTTGAACTAAACCATTCAATTCATATTGATTAGTTTTACAATCTCTTTATGAACTTTGCAAAGTGTCACAGTGGTAGTTGCGTAGCTGTCAATGGAGGGACAGAAATCTCTCAGATTTCATTTAATCTTCTAAAGATGAACGAAAGTCTTACAGGTTTGGAACGAGATGAGAGTGAGTAATTAATGACTGAGCTTTATATTTGGGCCTAGTGCTTATTCCTTTTAGGCTCTTAATAGTTCTGTTAAGAAATATCACATGTAAAAATGATATCCTATATAGGAGTCGTTTGAACCTGTTAGACTGCGGATAAGGACAATGGATTGAGGAAGTCTAATATCTTAAAGATCTAGTTTTAGATAAGTGAAAAAATGTCAATTCTTTCATAGTTGATAGTTTTGTCATTACAAACCTGTGTGACTTCCCTTTTCTCTGTGGAACAAGAAGGAAGAAGAAAAAAAAAAAAAAAAAAACACGTTGGTTACTAAACAACTGCATTTCCCAAGAGTATGGTATGGTAGATGTCATTTTGCATCTAGACAATATAGGATTTTTTATTGCAGAAAATATAAACATGAGTATATATTGATATAATACAAAACAACATATAAAAAAAATTATAACAGTATAATAATTATAATAATTTTTGACTTTCTCAGTTTGTGTAAATCTACTTAGGGTTTAGAGTATTTTTTTTCCCGCATTAATTGTAATGTAAATGTAAATGTCTAGTGCAATTATATGGTTTTGTTTCATTAATACAGTGTATACTTTTTTCTTGATTTACTCTGAAAGAATGGAAGTGAAATGTGACAACATGCCCCATAGGTGGTTTACATTGTAACATGTCAAGTCAAGTCAAGTCACATTTATTTATATAGCGCTTTTCACAATACAGATTGTATCAAAGCAGCTTCACAGTGATAACATGAAAGTAGCACAACACAGATCAACAACATTGCTAAACACTAAATAACCCCAACTGAGCAAGCTCAAAGCAAGCCAAAAGCAAGGCGACAGTGGCAAGGAACCAAACTCCATCAGATTGGATGGAGAAAAAACCTTGGGAGAACCCAGGCTCAGTCGGGGGCCAGTTCTCCTCTGGCTTACAACATGTGAGGGGCACATTGTAACATCACCATATGACAGCTTAAAATGCTATCTGATCTAATAAAAAAAAAAGTACACGTCAAAACAAAAATATTTTCAAAATATTAACTTTTTCATATAAAATAATGGCATTTTTTAATAATTAAAAATACACTATTTTTTCCATTTGACAACAAACACGGGAAAACACAGCTATACAGCATATTTCAAAACAAAATAATAATCAATAATTTCTGAACATTCATTGACTCTCAGTCTTTATTTACATGTTTATCATGTTTTTCCAAAATAATTCATAAAACTTTAGAATATAATATCATGTTCCTAATAGACCATTTCATAAGATGTAAACAACACTGGTCCAGAAACACTTCCTGTTCCAGTTTGTTACTGTTTTCTTTATTTCACATGTAAAGAAAACATCTTAAAGATGTTTGTTTAACTTTTTGATTCAGTTTTAAATGTTCTGTTGGTTGTATTTTATCCCAGCTTTTATGTAGTGTTAAAAAAACTCAAACAGGAAGTGCTTCTGGACCAGTGTTGTTTACATCTTCTGCTAGTTAGCGAAGCATTAAAGAACTATATCAATTGTTAAACAACAGATTGGAGATTAAAATAATATCAGATTTGTCTAATTTTAAATAAACACAAAAAATAGAGATGAGAAATGAACTTAAGTAAGAAATGTACTTTGGTTAAATAAATGTTCAGTGATATCTTACAAAGATTTTGTTATTTTGGCGCAATTTTTTCTATATATAGTGTTGAAATGGCAACTAGTAAATACATCAAGTTTCGTCATGCATCTTCTGTTTCAGCCCATTCTCACTCCCAAGGCGTCACCTAACTGACGCCTTGGGAAGCATTTGGACATGCTTCAATTTCTGACGCTTTAGGCGCCCTTTAGCGTCAGTTAGATGACGCCCTAGGATCGCGTGTACCCTACCCCCACCCCACACCTAAACCTAACCGCGTCCTCTAACTGACGCTTTCCTTTAGCGTCAGTTAGATGACACCGTAGGATCGCGTCATGTAAGTGACGCTAAAGGGCGCCTAAAACGTCAAATATTGAAGCATGGTCAAAGGTGACGCCTTGGGGTGAGAATGCGTTGTCTGTTTTAATTGAGAATACTAGCTCAACAACCGTTTTTAGAATCATATTTATAGCATACATTCAAAACTAAGCTTTTAAAAATGGTGTGTAGATGTGTCTCCTGACGCTCACTGGGTCCCACATGCCAATAATTCATACGGATCAGCGGACAAAGTTTAAACGGAGACGATAACGGTAGTTTTCAAAAACGTTGAAACCCATTTACAAAAGTGAGCATTTTCAGGCACCCAAAATGCTGTTGTTGTGTAAATCAATAGCAAAAATTCACAAAACATGTTATGGTTTTACACTGTAAAAAATATTGTCGGTTTAACTTAAAAAAGTAAGTAACCTGCTTGCCTTAAAATTTTAAGATCATTGAACTGGAAAAAGGGAGTTAATACAATGAATGAGAATGATTTAATCATCAGAAACTCAAAATTATTTGCTATCTGAACTAAATAAATTATTTAAGTTGATTTGACAAAAGAAAAAAATGTTGTCAAAAAATATATTTTCAAGATTTGTTGTCACAACAATTTTTTTTCTTATGTCAAATCAACTTAAATAATTTATTTACTTCAGATAACTTATTATTTTGAGTTTTTGATGATTAAATCATTCTCCTTCATTGTATTAACTCACTTTTTCCAGTTCAATCAACTTAAAAAATCAACTTACTTTTTTAAGTTAAACCAACAATATTTTTTACAGTGTAGTTGAAAATGGTGTCATATAACCTCAAGGCCGATTGAGGAAGTCCAATATCTAAAAGAGGATCTGCTTTAATTAAAATGTTTTTGTGAACTTGAAAATTCTTTCATGGTTTACTCACCCTCACTCTATGCGGAAAGTCAGAAAAGATATTTTGAACAATTTTGCTTTCCAAACACTTTGGGTTTCCATTGTCCTCCAGTGTATGGACAAAAAACACTCAAAACATTTCTCAAAATATATATTTTTTTATGTTTCACAGACGAAAAAGTCATAGTTGGGTGAGTGAATGATGACAAAATTTTAGTTTTTGGGTGAACTATCCCTTTTAAAAACAAGAACAAGTAGCCAATACACAAACACATAACCACGTCAAAAGAAGAACAAAATATTTGAAGGAAAATACAATTCCAATCCTCATTTACTCCATGTAGCAAAAGTTATAGCCTTTCAATGAAAGACCTC